GTACAAATTATGTTCTAAGTTACCATTAGGATGATTAGTGTTCTTATTGGTGAAATTTCTTCCTTTCCAACCAGTTTATACAACCTTTGAGGTATAGCCATATTTTTATTTAACCTTTTAAAGGGGCTACTCATGCCACAGTCGTTTTTCATTCTTGGCTTAGAAGTAAAATGTCCACGCTGCTTGGTGAGAAAAAAAAAACATTGACAGAATGTTCCTTCGGCATTATCCTGAACATTGTAAGCATTCATTTCATGTGAGAGGCTCTCAGGAGCATGCATATACGCCACATACTTTGATTTTCCAGGCAAAAATGTCCCAAGTCCTTCAAACATGAAAATTCAGTAATGCTTCATTTTAAGGACCAACTCTCATTTAACCAATTAACTAGTTGCTTATTAGCCTGCATATTACTAACATATTGGCTGCTTATTAGTATTTATGAAGCACATATTAATGCCTTAATCTGCATGACCATATTTTAGATCCCTTAATCCTTAAACCCCATAACTTAACAACTACATTACTACATTCATTAGCAGCAAATTAGGAGTTTATTGAGGCAAAAGTCAGTTAATAGTTTGTTAATAGTAAGAATTGGTCCCCGCACTAAAGCGTGACCAAAAATTCTTACATAGTCCCTTTAGGTTTGCTCAACTACCCAATACACAAGTTAGACAAATTTGGTGGAAAGAATCTGCCGAACTAAGAAAGTCACTATTAGTTTATGATCATCTTAAACTTAAAACTTCCTCAACTTAAAATACAATCATATTTAATTGGATCCACAAGTAAAACAAACAGTATTAGTTTTGAGTCGACAGAAATTACTATATTATGTTTGCTGAAAGCACACACTAACTTTAATTGTTCAAATTTTTCCCATCAGTTCCACCAATACTAATTTTGCATACTAAATAGTATGGATAATATGTAAATTAGGATTCAGCCATAGCCTCAACAGAACACTGGGATGTGGGGTGCATTATGGTCTGTCCTATTATTTCTCAAGGCAAAAGGCCCAAAGGGTTGTTAATTCATCATGGATTTAAAACGGGATATAAATGGATGAGGAAATAATGCCATTTACTTAAGAGCAATTGTCTAGAAATCATTAACTTCGGCTCAATTAATTAAAGCTTTTTATTCATCTTCCCCAAATACTCCACAGAGGGAAAGAACATATTAACAGAGCGAGAGAAACCGTTGGTTAAGCATAAAAGGCTTCATCACACAGATAATAAAAGAGTAATTTAATTCTCGCTCTGTATATGCTAAACACCAGAATCATTATGCTGAAAACCCAATTTAAAATCATCTCATCAGAACTTCTAAAGTTCATTGAGCACATCTGCGCACAAGAGAGATATCAAGAACAGCGAGGATAAAATAAAGTGAAAATAAAGTTCAGTTCTTTCCATAAAAACAATGTGGTTTTTTTATATTACTCTCAATGAAATCCATAGTGCAAATTACAAGATTTGGCTTGAGCACAAACAAACAAAATATCACATCTGAAATATAATCTGTTTACAGGTTTATGGAAATCTTGATGACGAGTTGTTGCCTGCACTCCGATTTACCCACAATTCCTCACACCGAGCATGAAATGTCGCATACATAAAATATTGTTCTCCAACTCCAGGTGTTGTTATCCTTGAATTCAAGCCATCATTATTAGAAAGTGATACTGATGAGTTTGTTTATTACTGTTTAAATCATGTTTATATTTTTATTATTGGTGTTCCAATCGAGGAATAAAGGTGGGGTATAAAACAGCAGTGCACACTCAGGCGTCTGACATTTTAGGGAGCCCTTTCAGAGTCATAAAGGTGCCGGAGAGATGGATGAGAGAAGAGAAAGAGTGCAAAGCCAGACCATCAGTGGAATAAAGAGAAGGGAGCAGTGGAAATGTGGAGGAAAGTGAATTAGAGAAAGATTATATGGAAAGGGAAGAATATAACCTCTCTTTCTTGACCCTTGACAAAAATGCACCAAGGTAACAGCAGTCTGCTCTAAAATACCATTGTTACTACAGTTATTGCTATTGGAATAAAAACTGTTGTTACTTGGTATTAGACACCAGCCACACGATTCTAAAAGGTTATTTTGCCAGTTAAATATGATCCTCTGATAGTATCATGGTGTCACAAAGTGATTTTTTGTTAGGAACTTTGCATTGTGCATTGTGTCCTGACAGTTAAGCACATTTCCCCCAAATTTCCATTACTATAATGCAAACTTTAATATAATTTATTTATTTTTCATGCTCCCCATAAGATTTTCATTATTGTTATAAAAATACTTTAAATTGCAATACCTATATCTACTATAAAATAATAATAGTTGTAAAAGCATGCTTGTCAAAATGCAAAACAACATCCAAAAATGTGTCGTAATAGAAAATAAAAATTGTGCATTTTAAAATAGCATTTATAATATAGTGAAATATGACATATTTAGACTTTTTTTTTTTTACAGTGTGTGACATTGTGAGATTCACCCATTAATATTTAATAAATATATTTGACCAGCTTTGTCTTATTTATGCAAAATTTGCAATATGTCCTATTTTATATTCTTGATTCTTAGGTAAAATATGATTTGATGAGATTCACCCATTAATACTTGGTGAATATGTTTGACCAGCTGCAGGTGCATTGTTTTCATGGTTGACAAAAAAATTAAACATTATAATTGTGAGGCAAAATGTGTTTAATTGTCATGAAAATAATGCTGCAATGCAGAAACTCTAAAACCAGACTTCATTTTTTTTTTATCCAAATAGACATTTTAGATTTGTGATTTTCAGGTTAAGTATGATTTGCATTTTGTGAGCTTCACCCAACTGTGGTATTTGATTTAAATGGATCCCGTGTGCGTTATATCATGAACAGCCTGGGTGAGAGTGGGAAAAAAAGATTTACGAATGGATGGGTGAACAGGCAAAAAACAAGCGTAAGGAGTCTCTGGTGAGAAGCCGAGTGTGTTTTATACAGCAGGTGTGTAGAAGACCTCTCCACTGGTCAGTCGGCGCATCAGCTCTTTCCATAGAAGCTCTCTCTCCATCTGCACTCCTTTCATAATGCCGCGGTTCTCCTGTGCCCGACGGGACAAATACGGAATCACCTCGTTCACCGGACCATAAGGAACATACTTGTACACAGGGAATCCTGCCTGAGCTGGAGATATGAGCAGACAAAACAAAAAAAACAAAAAAACAATTTTAAACTGTTTTTAAAATGTATCCATTTGATTGACATGCATTTTATAACTGTACACTTGGTAATACTGTACATCTTGTACTATCGTATAAAACTTCACTATTTTGGTAATACTTTATCTTATCTTACACTATTATATATAGCATGGTGTTCCAAATATATAACTTAAATATTACAACACATAAAAACTATATATATAAAATGCATGTAAATTTCATAAATTATTTGCATGCATGCAAATTATATACATGTTTGTGTGTGTGTGTGTGATTTTTGTTATATTTTTATTTTTTCTATTATTATCATTTTAATGTGTCTAGCATATGTGTAATTTTAATGTGTATAAATCAACCATCGAAATAAAAAATTCCTTGTAATTTCTTGACAACTACTGCAGTTTATAACAGGATTTTTTTCTTAAAATAAAACATTAGCTGAATTAAAATATATATATATTTAAAGAATTGTTTATTTCACCTAGTTCACAAGGCAACATTTCTCATTTCATCTTGATATACTACAACAACTAAAATGTAACTGAAATAAAAATAAGAAAACCTACATAAACATTACACTAAAAAATACTAATAAAATAATACAAGTACTAATAAAAATACAAAGTAAAATACATCAAAATGACTAAAACTAAACTCTAAAACAATAAATAAAATCAAAAAATAGTTACAAATATTAAGAAAAACTACAACAGTACCTCAGCAATACTAAAACAAGAGATAATGATATCCAAATAGGTTTATAATTAATAAAAGTTATTATAAAATTTTACTGTAATTTCACTAATGTGATTTTATAAACACTGCTAGCATGCGTGTGTGTGTGTGTGTGTGTGTGTGTGTGTGTGTGTGTGTGTGCTCATTGCAGACTTTAAGTCTTAAAACGTCAAAATCCATCATTAAAATATTAGTACATTTTAAAAATGATTATCTATAATGATAATGATAAAGCGTGTACTTAAGAACTTTTAGTGTACTTAAAAGTTAGTGCGCACTGGAGATGATCGCTTATGAAATATGAGAGATTTGATCAAATACCGACAATCAAGATAAATATCACATATTTTAAGACATTTCCAATCAAAACTGTGCAAAAAAAAAAATTATGCAATGCGTATTTGGGATACATAAAAATCTAAACATTTGAACTTCTATTCTTCAGCAATTGTCAAGAACCAGGCTTCCTATAGTATCGTAAAAAATTTAAATTTAAAATGTGATTTCTAAAATAATAAATAAATAAAATAAAATAAAATAAAATACAAATCTATAATGAATATACATTTCTCTACTTAATCCAACGTCTAAAAAATACATTTAAAAATCCTAATCCAGTAGTCAAAAAATGACTGCAAAAGTTACATAAACGCATTGGTTGAGTTATGGTAAGAATTTAAGAATCAGAAGACAAAGACTGGTGGGTAATGATGTCATTATTTGGATAAAACTGAGCTAATGAATATTAAATCAGCTCACGGTGACTGTGCTTTTCCAGACTGTCCAGTCATGTTAGTTCATATTGGTTAATATTCATGAGCCAAAGTTGTTCTATGCTGTCTTGCCATTGAAATATCAAGCCAGCACTGTTTGCTTTTACATAATCTAATATTAATCCAGAGATACAGTACTATATGTATACTATATATCAAACAAATGTAATATTATAAAACAATTACACATAACACATATAAAATAAACTAATAAAAAATCCTAAAGGTATAGCAAAATAAAGCCTATAGCTGAAATGTAGTTTTAATGGGAGATAAGAAACGATATCAGACGATGGGGATGGGAGTTGAAAAGTGGTCCATGGCCACACTGCATTAGACTCTATTGGAATCAGCTGTGAGGGTTAGTGGAGTCTCGTGTGTGTTTTTTGCGATTAGCTCTATTTGTTTTGCGTGGGTGAGTGACCGTTAATGGAGCTGCTGCCCAAGAAGAGCTGTCAGATGAGTCACTTATGAGGCTCCATTTCAGTTAGTAAGAGTTTAGAAAGTAGCAGCCTTTGTAGACAACAAGGCCGCTCACTAGGTTTTGGAACAGACTTCAAGCGTGAAATTTGCAAGGAAGAATTTGGAACATTTTTTGCCTGTGGTACATTCTGTTAGTGGATTCATAGTCGGGGTTGATGGGGTCATCGTATCCAATCTCCGCAGCTCGGCTTCTCTCCTGGTACATGTAAGCCCCCCTTACCAACTTGGCACCGAAACACCAGCCCTCCCTCCTTGATAGCTCCACATCCATGGACACGTTATCAAATGCCTCCTGTGCACAGAGAATTCATTACATTGCTACAGATAACCTGATTTTGTATGAATTTGATATATCATGTAAACAAACATTTGCAACGCAGACCTCCCTCAGAAACCAAATGGCACAAATTGTTTATTCATAAATTGTCATGGTATTGAAATTAATGCTGTGGGGACTTGTTTTAATATATAAAGAGGATAGACAACATTAAAGGAATAGTTCATTCTAAAATGAAAATGTGCTGAAAATGTACTCACCCTTAGGTCATGCGAGATGTAGATGAATTTGTTTCTTCATCAGAACAGATTTGGAGGAATTTAGCCTTACATCTCTTGCTCACCAATGGATCCTTTTCAGTGAATGGGTGCCGTCAGAATGAGAGACCAAACAGCTGATAAAAACATCACAATAATCCACATGACTCCAATCCATCAAAAAGCTAAAGAAAAAGCTGCATATTTATAATAAATGCATCAATAAGAAGTTTTTAAATCATTGCTTCCAGCTAAAATACAAGTCCTCTATCCATAATGTGGCTTTCTCCGCTGAAGAGGTTGTCTCGTCTGAATCGGGAGAGAAATATACAGTATCAAGCACTATATAAAAGTGTCTAAAACTGTTCTAAACAAACATGTCTGTGGATTTTGATGTGAGAGGACAACAGGGGATGTACTTCACTGGAGGAAGCATTATTGTGGATTATGGAGTCATATTTTGATGGTTTAAAGTTAAAATGTCTTAATGTTGGATTTACTTCTTGCAAACACGCTTTTCACTTCACAAGACATTAACTGATGAGGTCTTGTGATTGTGATGTTTTTATCAGATGTTTGGACTCTCATTCTGACGGCACCCATTCACTGCAGATGATCCATTGGTGAGCAAATGATGTAATGCTAAATTTCCTTAAATCTCTTCCAATGAAGAAACAAACGCAACTACATCTTGTATGGTCTAAGGGCGAGTAAACATTCATCAAATTTAAATTTGTTGGTGTTATCTACTGTATTTTCTGGAAAATAAGTAGCAACGGGTTAAAAATGCATTGTTTACAGAAAAATACAGATAAGTTGCATCTGTGTATAAAAGCATTATTACATTCAGAAATAATGTAAAAGACCAGTAAATAAAAATCGAAATGTTTACAAACATTATACACATGTATTTTAGTTTCCCTCATTCTACAACATATACAGAAAAAATTGCAGAACAGAATAGGAATGAAAAATATAAGTATAAAACAAACATGAATTATAGTGACATTATAAAACAACATTTATTATAAACCCTGGAATAATGCATTTAAAGTGAAACTGAAACTACCTAGATTTGGCAAATGCGCTATACAAATGTTTTTGGCCTCACGTATCTCTCTCGTCTGGCACAAATCCAAATCCTGATCGCTTTGGAATATCAGTTGCAGCACATTTTTGATAATTAAAAAGCACAAATTATATTCTGGAAAATTTGGTACATATAAATGTCTTGGCAATAGTAGCAAAAACAGCATATTTATTCACAAATGCTAAAGAAAACGGTCATGAAAAACTAATTATTACCATTTTTGGTGCAAGAATCCATGACCAACATTATAAGCAGACCCTAAAGTATATGGAGACTCAAAGTTGTCATAAGTGTGCGTGCACTGCATGTGTCTAATTGTCACCATCATCATTTTTTACATTTTGAAGATTAATTGCAATATGAAGACAGATTCCAAGCACTGCTTGGTGATGCTGCATTGTCTAAAATGTTATCCTGCTATTACTGTATAGCAAGTTTTCTGCACAGCATCTAACTGTAGATAAATCCCAGAATATCATCATGTGATCCACGTTAACACCATTCAAAGGTGTCAGACGTGTGTGTGTGCATGTGTGAGGCTCACTTTGAGGTAGCACTGATAGGTGTTGAACACGACAGCTTTGTCTCTGTTGAAGATTCTCTTCATTTCCACAGTGAGTCTGCTGATGGCAGGTTGGAAATACGTCTGTTCGGCATCCACCATCAGCCTGACGCCATTTTCCACCGCATGCTGTTCAGCACATGAGAAGCAGGCGGCGAGTTAAAAACACATTAATCAGCTGACTAAAAAAAGATATCACCACAGACAGCGGCATTTTAATTGATGTGGCAACCGTCATTCCTGATATAACCAAGGATTTGTCAACAAATAACCTCCGGTTATAATAATGACAGTGATACAGTGGTGCTAAAAATTATTTGGACATTTAAAAATGCTTGCATTAGATAACAAAATAACAAGCCAAGTGGCATTCATTTTAAAGTGCACATGCAAAACACGTCAAAATAAAAGTAGTTTGATAGGTTTAAAGGCTAAAACAATAAATATACTGTTCAAAATGAAAATACAAAGAATTAACTACACTACTGTATAAAAGTTTGGGGTTGGAAAGGTTTCTGAATGTTTTTTAAACTAAAAAAGTCTCTTATGCTTACCCAGGCTGCATTTATTTGTTAAAAAATACAGTAAAAACAACAATAATGTGAAATATTATTATAATTTAAAATAAGTGTTTTCTATTCCAATATACTTTAAAATAGAATTTATTCCTGTGATGCAAAGCTGAATTTTCAGCATCGTTACTCCAGTCTTCAGTGTCACATGATCCTTCAGAAATCATTCTAATATGCTGATTTGCTGCTGAAGAAACATTTCTTATTATTATCAATGTTAAAACAAAGTTATGCAGCTTAATATTTTTGTGGAAACCATGGTACATTTTTTTCAGTATATTTCGATGAATGGAAATTTCATCAGAACAGCATTTATTTGAAATAGAAATATTTTGTAGCATTATAAATGTCTTTACTGTCACTTTTGATAAATGTAATGCATCTTTGCTGATAACAAAATCTTACCCCAAACTTTTAAGGTTGGAAATTATTTTGGCATAAGTTGCATCACACCGCAAAATCACGGTAGAGTGAGTGAGATCCACTAGGTCACAGTTCCAACTTGTAAAAAACAACTTGGATTTTTTTGGAGAACCAATTTGGAGCAAAACTGTTATATGCAATCTCTAAACTTTGTTTGATTTGGTACTTCCAGGCTGAAAAACAGGAAGCCTCGAGTCTACGGTGAGTCACACTGCTTGTACCAGCGGCCTTTCACAGTGCGACATAAACCCGATACATGTTCCTGGCATCAAGTCGACGGGGCGGAACAGCTCTCTAACCTCCACACTCTGCTGAAGGCTTTCTCAAAATCAATCTCTGTTACATTCTTCATCCATGACTGTCTGTTAGACTATGACCTTCTGCCACTCCGCATGAATACCACAAGAGAAATATAAGAGGAACACAGCCAATGAACGCACCTTAGCCAAGACGTCCAGTCGCTGAAGCATCCTTTTCATCTGCCTTTCCTCTTCCTCCATGAACTTGGACAGAAGAGGCTCCAACTCACCAGTCTGTTGAAATAACAAATAAAAAAAATGGAACGAAATTCAGTATTTGAACAGAAATTCAGAATATGGGTGCATTTTCATTTGAGAAGTGAATCTTACTAATATTGATTTTCTTTTAAGTACAGTTTTATTTATTATTTTTAAACAGATGGTTTTGGTTTATTGGACAGAGATCTTTCAAGTAGAGGGTACAGTTTTTGTATTACATTACCTTCTCCTATTCCATTTTATTATGCAATAAGAAAGACATTCATAGGTTGACTTCCTAAAGATTATAAACATTCGAAGAGTTTATAGCAACTCCCTGTCTGACCGAACAATAGAAGAAAGAGGTGTTTTGGAAATCTGATTGGAAACAATATTCATTAGAGCTGCATGTTAATTGTTATTGATCATACTTGGGGTTGGTACGGAGATTTTGTTTTGTAACAATTAGTGATATAAACAAGTGTTACTTCAGTATTACTTGTAATAGTGTTTATTCTTATTTTGAATCGGAATTTACTTTTATATTTTCAGTTTTCGCATACGTTGTTAACGTTCAGATCAAAGCATAAACAATGTATCCGCGTACATACGTATGTGATACTCTCCAAAATGGCAAAAAAGGGTGACGCGGAGGAGACGAATTGTTTAATAAAGTCGTTATTTTTGTTTTCTTAACGCACAAAAAGTATTCTCGTAGCTTCGTAAAATTACGGTTGAACCACTGTTGTCACATGGATTATTTTAACGATGTCCTTGCTACGTTTCTGGATCTTGATCGTGTTAGGATCCTTGCTGTCTATGGGAGGGTCAGAGTTCATCAAAAATATCTTAATTTGTGTTCCGAAGATGAACGAAGGTCTTACAGGTTTGGAACGACATGAGGGTAGAGTAATTAATGACAGAATTTTCATTTTTGGGTGAACTATCACTTTAAGTTATGCAAAAAAAATGAAGACACCCCCCAAAAATGAAGATTTTCTATACTTGTGATGGAAGTCTCTTGCAGGCAAAATTCCAGACATATCTTCATAATCGAATGACCTGGGAAAAACTAAAAACTGCGAAGGGGCATTTGCTATGCTTATAGAACCAATTAGACCATGAGAAATCGATAACCCTCTTAATTTATGCTGTGGTTAAGGTATCCATTTCTTGCTGTCTGAATACCTGCAGGTTCGGGACAACCAGTAGATCAGATATCTTCGTTCTCTCGTCGATCAGACGGTTCCAGTCCAGCATGTCCACCATGCTTTGGGGAACACATAAAATACAGCATTCACGTTTCAGCAGCTTGTCACAAATGATGTTTCTAAAACATTAAAAGATTTGCATGCATCATTACGGAACTGGTCGATTCTGCAGCGCAAAGTGCTCTTATATGAGTTTAGTTACTCAGGGGTTTAGTTGACTCGAGGGGGTCAAGTAGAGTAATGGAGCACCCGTGGAATAGTCCTTGAGTAGCTCTCCTCAGTTCATAAGATAACTTCATTGTCTGCCATTTATTGGAAAGATTTACAAGTCTGAGTGTCAGAACAGCTACGGGAAACTGGTGTTTCTCACCCTGATGAGTGCAGTCGTCCTTCAGTGAAGCAGCTCTGAATGTTGCCTTGAGCTCCCAGTCTAGCTAGACATGTCTGCAAAGAAAACACAGACATTTCCATTCATCAGACCAAACACTCCAAAAAGACCGCATGATTAGAGGGAGAGTTCACCCAAAATGAACCCATTGGGTTTTTGTGTTCCAAGGAGCACAAAGTGATACATTCTGAGGAATCAAGGGTCAGTTAATGTAGTATCACTATTGTTCACCCAAAAATGATAATTGGCTGATTTCTGTTTGATTTGTGCACATTTCTCTCTTGATTCAGACAACACAACTTTTTCCCTGGAGAAAGTAATAATATAGAGGACTTAGAAGCAAAAATTTGAAATTGAAAACGTCTAAATAATGGATACTATGTTTATTATAAACATGCCGCTTTTTGCTTTACAAGACATTAATTGATGGACTGGAGTGGTGTGGATTACTTGTGGATTATTGTGATGTTTTTATCAGCTGTTTAGACTCTCAGTCTGACGGCACCCATTCACTGCAGAGGATCCACTGGTGAGCAAGCGATGTGATGCTAAATTTCTCCAAATCTATTCCGATGAAGAAACAAACTCATCTACATCTTGGATGGCCTAAGGGTGAGTAAATTTTCAGCAGATTTTCATTTTTGGGTGAACTACTCCTTTAAGCAAAACCTACTTCGGTTTATTTAATGGAAATTATCACGTATAAATGTCCCGTGTAAGTGTCTGCTAAAAGACTAAATTATTTATTGTCATGTTAATTACATTTTGCCATTAAAATGAATGAAGGTCATACTGTACAGTCATTGCAATATAGCGTCCAGTTGCTTGCTGTAGGTCAGATTTGTTGCAGCCGCCTTACAGTCTATTGCAGTATTAAACACGCTTTAGTGTTGGTTGATCTGTGCTTTTGGCCGCAGTTTGAACCCAATTCGTACCTGCAATTGCTCTAGATCCAGTTTCTGCTCCAGTACATCCACGCCGTCTTTTCCCTGCTTGGCAGCCATTTTTGGGTGAACTACTCCTTTAAGCAAAACCTACTTCGGTTTATTTAATGGAAATGATCACGTATAAATGTCCCGTGTAAGTGTCTGCTAAAAGACTAAATTATTTATTGTCATGTTAATTGCATTTTGCCATTAAAATGAATGAAGGTCATACTGTACAGTCATTGCAATATAGCGTCCAGTTGCTTGCTGTAGGTCAGATCTGTTGCAGCCGCCTTACAGTCTATTGCAGTATTAAACACGCTTTAGTGTTGGTTGATCTGTGCTTTTGGCCGCAGTTTGAACCCAATTCGTACCTGCAATTGCTCTAGATCCAGTTTCTGCTCCAGTACATCCACGCCGTCTTTTCCCTGCTTGGCAGCCAAGAAACTGAAAAAGCGTCTCCATTTCACCAGCATATATATATTTTGTCCAATTAATATTAATTATATTAATAAATTAAAATAATCTACCTTAATTAAAATGCTAAATAATGATATTTATTTATTACCCTAATAACTATTGTTTCTCAGTTTCTGTTCATTAAAAAAAAAAAAGATTAAAATCAAGAAGATGAAAATTATGCTGGATAATTGGGGACCTTCGAGTCAAAAAGTTTAAGAAACACTGTTTTAAACAATTCAGACAGACATCCAAAAAGAAATAAAAAATAAACAGATCATATAATATTTAGCTGTTGCCAGTTAACATTATATGAAGGTCAAAAAAATTAAATGAACTTGATCTTGTTTTAAGCCCTGCTTTGTATCCTATTTGTGGAAAGTGCCCTGCTTACATTCTATGTTTTGGTCACTGCATTTTCTAGCTCCTGGCTTTTGTTTTGCTTGTAAACTAACTCCAATTCCAAAGTTAATTACTAATCAGCTTTAATAGATGGTCTGTTACCCGAGGCTTTGATGCATTTCAGGAAAGTCTCCATGTGTTGGTCGCATTTCGCCTCATCGGCATAGAAATAAGTACGAGCGCTTGTCACGCCTTCACGACGATCGCCAAACTTCCGATGGGCTGTGAACTTCTTCTCCCGGTGGTCAGCTCCTGAAAACAATGTCCAAAAGGGAAAGTTTGACCTTTTACTTCAATATTACAAAAGAAATGGTGCACATACTCACCAGGGCTTTCTTTCTCTGATGAAGACATGCAAGATCTATCAATAAAGAGAGAGACATTGACATTTTTAATAAAACAGGGGACTAATGAAACCAACTACTTGTTCTTTAGGTCTTTTTAGAGACCTTTAGCCAACAAAATGAAGAAACAGCAGTTTCTGTAGAGAGGAATCAATAATAACTGCAGAGGCTGCTATGAAGTCACTTTACTGTGGTGCGCTTCTGCTATTTGTTTCCCTTCTATATTTCAGGGTCAGCACTTAAGAGTCACAAACTGACCCCCGCCTGATGTCTATGCTTATACCCGCATGCATTTAAACTCTCTGCTGTACAACACTGATGCTCAGGCCAGGCATTCAAACCAACTCAAAGGTTACACAGCCACACGGGGCAGTGATTTGCTTAGATTGAGCTCCTGTGATCTCCACATCTTTCGAACAGCACTCACACCAACGCCTCCACTCTTTCCCATCCACCCCCAGAGCCGTGGATACGCTGCATGGGGCGGCTCAATGGAGACAATGTTTTGACGTCTGTAATGTTCCAACAGGAAGGAATGTTGAGATGTTGATGGGGTCATTAGCGGACGGACTCGAGCCCTTCCAGACTTAAAGTGCTCAGTTAATGCCTCAGCCTGCAGCTAAACAAAACAGAGTTATACATGCAACATATGAGAATCTTACTTCCAAATCTCTCCATAGTTTGCAAGAGAAAATCTGAAGAGATGGGTCTATTTATCTACATATAGCAACTGAATATAAATGCAAACGAAGAGATATATTTTCAATGAAAAACTTTAGATTTTACCACAAAGTTACACGGCAAATAAAGGATGCATAAAGAAAAGAGTATTAAAGAATAAAGAATATTTAGCCCCTTTTCATTGTTTACTAGGGAAATTTTGATGTAATATCTCTTATTATTAACATTAAAGACAAATATAAATTCAAAAGAAAATAGATTTTCTAGGCCTATATCTTAATTATCTCAATACATCGATGAAAAAAAAAATCACTTCAAAGTCACAAGAAAAAATGCATAAAGAAAATATTTTGCATGTGAACCTTTCTGCTGTAATTGTCAAAAAAAAAAATATATATATATATTCGCTGCTGTAATTACCTTTTAACTGTTTTTAATAATGTTTGCAGTTATATATTCACACTCATAATACATACTGTATTATGATACTGTATTATTATAATATATATATTAGTGTTGTCAAATGATGTGTGTGTGCTATGTTTATTTATTATGTATATATAAATACACACACATACAGTATATATTTTGAAAATATTTACATTTATATTATTATATTTTATATTATATATAAATATATTTAATATATAAACATAACATATTTTTCTTTAATATATACATGCATGTGTTTGTATTTATATGTACATAATAAATATACACAGTACACACTCATATATTATGCAAACAAAAACTCTTATTTTGGATGCGATTAATCGCGATTAATCGTTTGACAGCACTAGTTTTGTTTCAAGCACAGAGGAATTGTGGAATTGTCTTGGGCAGACAGCTGAATGTTATATAGCAGACAATTCATAAAATCAATACATGCAAGTCAATTACAGAGGACCGATGGTTGTTATTATAATAATGGCTGTCTGCACCAAACCAAGACTTAACAATAACAGCTTTTTCATATTTATTACCCTAATAACTATTGTTTCTCAGTTTCTGTTCATTAAAAAAAAAAAAGATTAAAATCAAGAAGATGAAAATTATGCTGGATAATTGGGGACCTTCGAGTCAAAAAGTTTAAGAAACACTGTTTTAAACAATTCAGACAGACATCCAAAAAGAAATAAAAAATAAACAGATCATATAATATTTAGCTGTTGCCAGTTAACATTATATGAAGGTCAAAAAAATTAAATGAACTTGATCTTGTTTTAAGCCCTGCTTTGTATCCTATTTGTGGAAAGTGCCCTGCTTACATTCTATGTTTTGGTCACTGCATTTTCTAGCTCCTGGCTTTTGTTTTGCTTGTAAACTAACTCCAATTCCAAAGTTAATTACTAATCAGCTTTAATAGATGGTCTGTTACCCGAGGCTTTGATGCATTTCAGGAAAGTCTCCATGTGTTGGTCGCATTTCGCCTCATCGGCATAGAAATAAGTACGAGCGCTTGTCACGCCTTCACGACGATCGCCAAACTTCCGATGGGCTGTGAACTTCTTCTCCCGGTGGTCAGCTCCTGAAAACAATGTCCAAAAGGGAAAGTTTGACCTTTTACTTCAATATTACAAAAGAAATGGTGCACATACTCACCAGGGCTTTCTTTCTCTGATGAAGACATGCAAGATCTATCAATAAAGAGAGAGACATTGACATTTTTAATAAAACAGGGGACTAATGAAACCAACTACTTGTTCTTTAGGTCTTTTTAGAGACCTTTAGCCAACAAAATGAAGAAACAGCAGTTTCTGTAGAGAGGAATCAATAATAACTGCAGAGGCTGCTATGAAGTCACTTTACTGTGGTGCGCTTCTGCTATTTGTTTCCCTTCTATATTTCAGGGTCAGCACTTAAGAGTCACAAACTGACCCCCGCCTGATGTCTATGCTTATACCCGCATGCATTTAAACTCTCTGCTGTACAACACTGATGCTCAGGCCAGGCATTCAAACCAACTCAAAGGTTACACAGCCACACGGGGCAGTGATTTGCTTAGATTGAGCTCCTGTGATCTCCACATCTTTCGAACAGCACTCACACCAACGCCTCCACTCTTTCCCATCCACCCCCAGAGCCGTGGATACGCTGCATGGGGCGGCTCAATGGAGACAATGTTTTGACGTCTGTAATGTTCCAACAGGAAGGAATGTTGAGATGTTGATGGGGTCATTAGCGGACGGACTCGAGCCCTTCCAGACTTAAAGTGCTCAGTTAATGCCTCAGCCTGCAGCTAAACAAAACAGAGTTATACATGCAACATATGAGAATCTTACTTCCAAATCTCTCCATAGTTTGCAAGAGAAAATCTGAAGAGATGGGTCTATTTATCTACATATAGCAACTGAATATAAATGCAAACGAAGAGATATATTTTCAATGAAAAACTTTAGATTTTACCACAAAGTTACACGGCAAATAAAGGATGCATAAAGAAAAGAGTATTAAAGAATAAAGAATATTTAGCCCCTTTTCATTGTTTACTAGGGAAATTTTGATGTAATATCTCTTATTATTAACATTAAAGACAAATATAAATTCAAAAGAAAATAGATTTTCTAGGCCTATATCTTAATTATCTCAATACATCGATGAAAAAAAAAATCACTTCAAAGTCACAAGAAAAAATGCATAAAGAAAATATTTTGCATGTGAACCTTTCTGCTGTAATTGTCAAAAAAAAAAATATATATATTCGCTGCTGTAATTACCTTTACGCTGTTTTTAATAATGTTTGCAGTTATATATTCACACTCATAATACATACTGTATTATGATACTGTATTATTATAATATATATATTAGTGTTGTCAAATGATGTGTGTGTGCTATGTTTATTTATTATGTATATATAAATACACACACATACAGTATATATTTTGAAAATATTTACATTTATATTATTATATTTTATATTATATATAAATATATTTAATATATAAACATAACATATTTTTCTTTAATATATACATGCATGTGTTTGTATTTATATGTACATAATAAATATACACAGTACACACTCATATATTATGCAAACAAAAACTCTTATTTTGGATGCGATTAATCGCGATTAATCGTTTGACAGCACTAGTTTTGTTTCAAGCACAGAGGAATTGTGGAATTGTCTTGGGCAGACAGCTGAATGTTATATAGCAGACAATTCATAAAATCAATACATGCAAGTCAATTACAGAGGACCGATGGTTGTTATTATAATAATGGCTGTCTGCACCAAACCAAGACTTAACAATAACAGCTTTTTCATACAAAATGATGCATGGCAGGAACGGTGCCTCCGAACTCACGGAATGATCAGCCCTGGGTTCCTGCATATTAGATGGCAGTCTACTCAAATGCCACATCCTCCAGCATTCTCCCTCTATCACACCCTTGATAATGCAGAAAAGCCAAGCTGAGCACTCTATTCTGTATAACAGCATTACAGGATCCATTGGGGTGGATGTTAATGCAATATTGATAGGGGCAGAGGCTCTAAAACACACATCACGAACATAAATTAGCTTTTATTAGCCAGTGACCAGCCAGGGTCCTCTGTGGTTGTAAAGAGCATTTCCAATAAACGCTCCATTTCAGCTCATTTCGTCTGTGAGGCGAGCGATCGTGGTGATCTAGCGCCCCTCTCAAGCGACGGAGAGAACTGCTCTTCACAGCCACAGAGTAATCTGAGGAGGGACGCCTATAAAATTGCTCAGACCTCTGACAGCTGCGTTCAGAAATGAGAGCAGTGATGTGGAGGAGAAGTCCATTTATTGGATCGCACTCTGTATAACTGGCTTTTCCTCATAATCCAAATGGCATATCATCTATATCTCCGTCTCTTTCTCTCTCTCTCCCTCAGTACTCAGGCTATACATTTCATTTATATTTCCAGCAGGAGACCCTCTGGGACAGCACTGACATTCTGTAATTTCCAAAAGGTCAATGACAAGAACAAATGAAGACATTTTTTAATCAAATGTCATAACGTTGACACAATGTAGGTGAGGCAAATGGTTAAGGACCTGGGCTGATAATAGAAAGGTCACAGGTTCAGTTCCAGGTCAGGATGAATGACAAAAAGTTACCTTCAGAATTATTAAGAACAAACCAAGTAGACATACAAGTCTGCATTTCTAACTAGCCCAGACTGCAATTAGCATACAAGTTGCATGAAATGAAAACCGTCTACTATTTGACAAATAATGTGTGTAAATGTTTCAGTAATGCTGACAAACAGGAAACAAATTACATTTGAGAGCATATTTTTAATCTTATTTGGAAAGTTGAATATGCATTGGGTGGTTGATAGGGCATCACAAGAAGTCAAAATCTCTGAATTTGCAAACAGGATTATTATAGTTAATTATGGCTACTTATATTATTGCTAAAACTGAAACAAAAACTATTTATTCGTTCATTCATTCATTCATCAGAGAAGAGATGCTTTGCACCATATTTAGCTACTAGCTATTTTGTATTTTTTAATGCAAAATAAATAAATAAAAACAAATTAAATAAAGCTTAAATAGCATAAAAAAAATTAAAAATGCACAAAACGCACTAAAATTCATAAATGGAAATAAATCAAAACAAAAACAGAATCAAAACCAAATGTATATATTTAACATTAATTTTAAACGTTTAAATAAAACAAAAAAACTAACTAAAATAAAAACTGAAAATATAAATATATTTGGGATGATCTCCATGTTTTGACCAATAACAAAATATCCAGTCATTTTGTTTTCTTTCAGGGGGGTCAGACACCCCTCTCCCCAATAATTCACATAGACATTTGTTCAAATCACTAACCCTAAACACGTGCAATAGTAATAGTGATGCAGGTTTGAAACAAAAAAATAATAATAACCCACTGATATCACAACACTGCATAAACTACTATAAAACATTTGCTGTTGTGGAAACAGAGAGCAGCTCTCTATCTGTATGTGTACCATGAAACAAGATTCCTAAACAGTGAGCATGTTGATACCCTCAACATAAGCCAATCAGAAACAATGGGCCTTGACCGAAACAGCCAATAGCATATCAGCTCTTTGTTTACATCTGTGACAGCAGATCAAATCTCAGTCTATTTCTGTAGGCTCTCCACATGAGCACAAATCACAGCATGGCCATTAACCTCTAGGCCCTCTACCGAAAAGCAGTTAGTGTGATGCAAAGCAGGTCTTAAAGACTAATTCAGGCCGAAAGATTTTGGAATCGTTCTGCCGAGCTAGGAGGATCTAAAAGGGAGAAAGTTTTCAAAACACTTAAGGATTCAACTAAACTAATTGCACAAAACAGCAGGTTGATATTAAAGAGAGCAAAAGTTCTTAATTAGCTGCTTTAAATTAAGCTAATTAAGCACTATAGCTCTATGGAGCAAAATAATTGCGCTCATTTATATTCTGTTCTTATACTTGGTGTGATCTATATCACTGATTTATTTATTTTGCTCTTAATTGGTCAGGTCTGGCTAATGTATTCTGCAAATAAATGCCTGCAGACTAGTTAAATGTTCAGCTGAATGTAAAATTTTCCTATCCATAGAATCTATCTATCTATCTATCTATCTTAAAATAAAATAATGTTAAGCTGAATGTCTTGAGCAACATTCTCCTATGTAGTTGACAGACTTTGCATTTTGTTAAATTGCACACAAATCTTACCAGTCACCTTGGTACCTATGATCGATTGAAGCAGCCGTGAACATGGTAGTTTGTGGATGTAAGGAGCAGAACTACAAGAGAGCACTTACTCCATCTCTTTCCTCTCAGCCTCTTCCTGTGAGAGATCCTCTTCTACACTATAATCCAGCACAGCCCCGACTCCATACGCTTGGTTCTTCTGCACTACAGGCCTGATGGACTGATGGTCCTCTCCCGCCACAAACTGACCGTAGAATGTCATCTTCATAAACTGCTCAAACATATTCTGTCCCAACAACTTTCTGCTGAGGTCCATTATCTGTATGAGACAGAGAGAGTGTTGTCAAGGCATGCACATATATTACAGTATCATCTGAAGTCATCTTGAGCTGAGAGCCCTATATTATTTTAGGTAAGCACTCAATGCATACTTACTAATATTTGAATGATTAAACTGTTTCCCCTTAAACACTACTTGTTATTTAATGCAATGCATACATATTTAAGTGTGGCTTACTGTAGGTGCCTTGCAGTTTGGGGCCACTGTGTATACTGTATATGGGACTAGAGACCATGTCAATCGGAACACAGTTAATTCATGCACTCTAAAAAATGCTGGGTTAAATTCAACCCAGAGCTGGGTAAAATAGGGACAAACCCAGCAACTGGGCGGTTTTGACCCAGCGGTTGGGTTAAATGTTTAACCCAACCTTCTGGGTAGTAACCCAACCGCTGAGTCAAAACAACCCAATTGCTGGGTTTGTCCCTATTTTACCCAGCATTTTTTAGAGTGTGGGACTCTCTTCTAACGAGCTGGTGATTTGAATCAAGTGTGTTGAACAAGGACATGCAAAATATGCGGAGCTGGGGGTCATGAGGACCAAGATTAAGAAACGCTGTTGTAAATGTTGCCTAAAGGTCAAAGAGACTTGCATAAGTCTGAGGTACATTCTGTCCTTGCCAGTACACTCTAAAAAATGCTGGGTTAAATATAACCCAGCGCTGGGTTAAAAAGGGACAAACCCAGCCTCTGGGTTGTTTTGACCCAGCGGTTTGTACACTTTAAAAAATGCTGGGTTAAAAAGGGACAAACCCAGCTATTGGGTTGTTTTGACCCAGCGGTTGGGTTCAAAACATCCCAACCACTGGGTCAAAACAACCCAATAGCTGGGTTTGTCCCTTTTTAACCCAGCGCTGGGTTATCTTTAACCCAGCATTTTTTTAGAGAGTGTATAATCTTGGCTCTAGTAACTACACACTAACCACATGACTGCTCCCTGGCAAGATGCCATTCCTGCCAATCATCTGGGACAATGCCACAGGAGTAATTCCAGACCGGAACATGGAAGTCTTTCATACACAGTACAGTACTAGAACAGGATGCCTCTCCTTTTTGGTTAATATAACTATATAAGCATTAAATACATTACATACCTCTTTATTCTTATCAACCAGGATGTCATAGGAGCACAGTTTGAAAACCACCAAGCTTCTAAGCAACTCAAGAGTGTCTTTGCTCTTGTAGGCTCCTTTGGTCTGTTCAAAGTCAATGGAGATCTTGTTACTGTAAGGTGCATGCTCTCTGCTGTCCACGGACTCGTCTTCTGTGTTTGTTTTGGTTGGATGTAAGGCTTGCACACTCCGATGATGGCGAGTGGAGATCACCAAACTCCTGTCAAGAGTCGCGCGCCCAAAGGCAGGGAGAGTTTTGCGGAGAGACATCAGTTCAAGACTTCTGTACAGACCACAGATACAAAGAAATCTCCTTCACCCTGTTATTATATTTAATGCAACCTGTGGGGTCCCGCCCATATTCAAATCTGGGCTAAAGGATTGACACAAATCCAGTGACGTTTCTGTTTACCAACATGTGCTGCCATAAAAGGGATGCTGTTGCATAAACGTTCCGTGACGTAAATATTACAGTTTTATAATTCCGAGATGGTACATAAATGTACAAATTTGTTTAGTTTGACTTTCAGGGTGCACATGCAACGTGTGGGTTTCGCTAATGCAGAAAAAAAACTATTCACCGAGGATTTTATTTAAAATATCCTGTTGTTGCTCTCTTTGTCGTTTAGTTTGAGAATGTTTCGTTTTGCTCTTGCAGCTGTGTTTGTGACGTAAACGTTTGTTGTGCATGTTCTATGAAGTTAACAGAGGGGGGAGCCGTTGCATTGTTAAAGTAATTCACTTTACAAGACTGGGGGGGAAAAACTACTTAGCTAAGCTGACAAAACTTATGGAGATGTCCAAAAGTTATTCATAAACAAAATAAAATAACATTTTGTTTACTTACTCAGACCGCAAAAGTTTAGGTCCGGGTTAGCCTGTATTATAATTTACAAAAATGATATTAATAAACCATATTAAGTCTATATCATCATAAATGAGGGGAAGAAGCTGTAATTGATCAATCTTAATGTACAGTAACTATGCAAGAATGCATGCATTTGTTTAGCTATTTGTGAAAATGACCACATAAATAATATGAAACAGGTCAAAAACCAACTTTAAAAAAAAAGGTCAATCTGGCATGTTGAATGCTTTTAAATAAAAATCTTAGCTGTACAAATATTTGTTCTGCGTGACTTAAATCCAATATTACCACATGCACATATGTAGTAAGTTTATAACCCACTAGTATTTATATATAGACCGGGACGTTTTAACAAAAAGACTACACTCTAAAAAATGCTGGGTTAAATACAACCCAGTGCTGGGTAAAATAGGGACAAACCCAGCAATTGGGTTGTTTTGACCCAGCGTTTGGGTTACTACCCAGAAGGTTGGGTTAAACATTTAAACATTTAACCCAAACGCTGGGTCAAAACAACCCAATTGCTGGGTTTGTCCCTATTTTACCCAGCACTGGGTTGTATTTACAGTAACTATGCAAGAATGCATGCATTTGTTTAGCTATTTGTGAAAATGACCACATAAATAATATGAAACAGGTCAAAAACCAACTTTAAAAAAAAAGGTCAATCTGGCATGTTGAATGCTTTTAAATAAAAATCTTAGCTGTACAAATATTTATTCTGCGTGACTTAAATCCAATATTACCACATGCACATATGTAGTAAGTTTATAACCCACTAGTATTTATATATAGACCGGGACGTTTTAACAAAAAGACTACACTCTAAAAAAATGCTGGGTTAAATACAACCCAGTGCTGGGTAAAATAGGGACAAACCCAGCAATTGGGTTGTATTTAACCCAGCATTTTTTAGAGTGTATGCTAATATATTTATCTGTTTACTTCTATTCGTTTATTTACTTTTCAAATTTCAATATTTCTCTTATAGTGGTTATAATTACGGGTAGGTAGTTATTATATTACATTAAACAACTAAAGTTTATTACATGGGTACGCGGTACTTGTGCGCGCGTGCGCATTAATGAGGAGACGAGACTGGCAGCGCGTTTGACGGGGCAGTAAGGGGGGCTGGATGGGTCCATGGTCCCAAGTCCTGAGCATATACACTATAAGGTTGGGTTAAACATTTAAACATTTAACCCAAACGCTGGGTCAAAACAACCCAATTGCTGGGTTTGTCCCTATTTTACCCAGCACTGGGTTGTATTTAACCCAGCATTTTTTAGAGTGTATGCTAATATATTTATCTGTTTACTTCTATTCGTTTATTTACTTTTCAAATTTCAATATTTCTCTTTTAGTGGTTATAATTACGGGTAGGTAGTTATTATATTACATTAAACAACTAAAGTTTATTACATGGGTACGCGGTACTTGTGCGCGCGTGCGCATTAATGAGGAGACGAGACTGGCAGCGCGTTTGACGGGGCAGTAAGGGGGGCTGGATGGGTCCATGGTCCCAAGTCCTGAGCATATACACTATAGTCACACCCACTCGATGAGGAGCTGCTCGGGTGGTTTCGGTCTGAATTTGGGAAGCCGCTGCACGCCAAAGAGAGCACCGAATTCCCAAGAGCCAGAGAGCCAGAGATAGGATCACTAATTAGGAATGTCCCTTCTGAAAAGAGAACAACGATCCGTTTTAAAGTTCCCGTTTCTTTTCCAAAATGGACGTACTTAAAGTTTTGCAGAGCTTTTTTTTGTTTTTCTTGACACGTTCTGAAGCAGCATATCCTCTCTGAAAATCTGCATTTTGGAAATCATAGCGGGAAATTGGGAATACCAGGGTCTCAGAAGTTTCCAACAATGCACCAGTTTCGTCCACCAGTGTTTGGAGCGCATACTAAAAGCAGAAGTTCTCCTCTGGAACTGGGGCTGGACGGAGGGAATAACTGTTTGGTTTTATAACTTCTGTGCGCCCTCTCCTCCTCTTTTCTCTTCTCTGCCTCAGCCCTTGGAGTCTGAAAGCGAGTGGGTAAACGATTTATGCGGATAAAATAACTTTCAAACGATTGAAGTCGACGGTTTTGAGACTTAGAAGGTCATAACCCATCTGAACTTCTAGAGATTGTAAAGAAAAGGAATGCTGAGCAGAAGAGGCGCATGGAGAGATGCTGTTTCTTCTACCATGGATCTAAAGGGCACTTTAGCGGTTTTATTGCTTTTGCTTCTATGCTTATGCCCTGTTTTCAGTCAAGAACTCAATCCAAAGGGTAGGAACGTGTGCAAAGTTCCAGGGTAAGTCGGATGAATAACGTCTAGGGGGGGAATAAAAGAAAGCATTAATGTCTTCTGATCATAGGGTAGACCCGATGCATGATATCAAGCAAGTACAAAGGCCTTATGCGTTTGAAAATCAAATGCTATTAAATTAAGGTTTATTGAATGCAGCAGTAATTAATGACAATTAAACACTAGGCCCATCACATAACGAGGTATTTAAATTAAGAGTTAAAAATGTAAAAGTTAAACATGACATATATTTTTTTGTTTTTAAAGTGAAAGGAGAGGTTTGTTATTTCGCTATATGTTTGCTATAACACTAATTAATCACTATATATGAAAGTGCACAGCAATAAGTGACTTTTCAAACTGTACACACGTTGTTTGTGATGTTGTTCCAAATACAAATGCGTTTGTGTCAGTCATCCTGTTTCACATCTGGGTCTGACACACGTTAAGGGATAGGGGGCGACACCAAACACTCCAGCAATTAACAATAATACTTAACAAAAGTAGTTGAGCATGGTGAACCTGGAAATAATCTCTAATATAAATATAGAAATAATAATAATAATATATATATATTGGTTTTATTGCTCTTTCTCCAACATGTTTTAATAATCATACAAAATGACATTGTGAGATGCATGATTTTAATTCAAAGCACTATATGTTATATAAAACAGCTGGATTTTGATGTTTAGGTGTTTATCTCAAAATGATGTTGTATTTCTTCTCACTAGGCATTTTAGGGGAATTCTACTAGCAGTGTTAAGCACTGAATGGTTGTTTAAAAGTTTGTTTACTTTGTGATTTCTGGCTCCAGATGGCTATCGCTGTACTTGAGATCAGAATGGAAACCACCAGATATGATCTAGTTTGTATTCTCACAAACAGAGATTCTCACCCACCACAGACGTTGACAGGAAGTTCATGTTCATTTTACAAACTTGCTCAGAAATTCCACACAGGACTTTATTGTTGCTGAATCAAGTTTGGCCCCCCCAGCTGTTGACTGATGCTCAATTTCCATTTGTTTAAGCTTTCATCCACGGTCCTAGCTTCGCGTTCTGGCTGCGGTGTGTATGTTGGGTTTGACAGAGCAGAGAAGTCAGGGCTGTGGTGTAGATCATGTCTGGCTAAGACACGCACACATAGGCTAAACAAACTCCGACTGAAGGCAGAGAGCGGCCCCCACACTTCAGAGGAAGCCAAAGTGTGGACAAGGCCTCTCTGGGGTCACATGTGGAGGAATATGAGGGGCGGCATATGTCTTATATCCAAGGAACACTTAGAGAGTATAAAATTTTAAGGGGAAGCCACTTGAAGTAGAGATAGCGGGGATAATTTGAAAGGTTTAGAGAAGAGATGAATCATTTTGTTTTTCATGCATGGATTGTAAGAGAGTCTTTAAATGAAGCTGCACTTACACATATTTTCCATTGAATCGCTTGATATACACTCAGTTCAAAAGTTTGGGGTTGGTAAAAAGTGTCTTACGCTCTCCAAGGCTGCATTTATTTGATCAAAAATACAGTAAAAACAGTAATATCGTGAAATATTATTATAATTTAAAATAGCACTTTTCTATTTCAATATATTTTAAAATATAATTTATTAATGTGATCTATAAGCAGAATTTTTAGCATCATTATTCCAGTCTTCAGTGTCACATGATCCTTTACAATTCATTCTAATACATAATACTTGTTATTATTATCGGTGTTGAAAACAGTTGATAAAAACTGGTACACATTTTTCTGTATTCTTTGATAAACAAAAGAACAGCATAATTTCAAAAAGATTTTTGTAACATTATGCATGTATTTACTGACATTTTTTGATCAATTTAATGCATCCTTGCCAAATAAAAGCATAAATTTCTTTCCAAGAAAGAAAGAAAGAAAGAAAGAAAGAAAAACAAAGTTTGAAAAAAAATTTTTTGTTTTAAATAAAGTCTTCTGTAACATTGTAAATGTCTTTACTGTCACCTTTAATCATGTCTCCTTGTTGAATAAAGTATTAATTTTCTTTAAAAAAACTGGCCTAAACCTTTGAACAGTAGTATATTAATCTGCAAACATGCATGCTAAAACCTTAAGATAATTGTGTTGTGGTGCTCATATGGGAGAAATGGGTTAAATTCCAGTCCTTATTGTGTCCCAACCCCATTCCTCGCTCTTCCTCCCATCATTTTCTGTCAACGAAATGCATGTAAGTTGCTGCAGCAGGCCTGTTGTGAGATGCTTTGAATAAAACACCCACCGCAGACACATGCAAAATTCCGTCGGGGTCATATGTGATGGATTAAAAGTAATTCAAGCAAAAGAAATTAAAATTCTGTCATCATTTACTCACACTCATCTCGTTCCAATCCCGTATGACTTACTTTCTTCTGTGGAACACAAAGGAGATGCATATGACTCATGCACTATATTTCAATTCTTCTGAAGCTGTAAGATAAGTGAACCAAATTTAAGTCATTAGTCACTGAATATGTATTCAGAATTGGTGCATGAAGAACTGGGAATGAGATTGAGAGTTCTTTGTGTTTTTTTAACGGATACCGACATTTTATATTTTGGATTTAGAAGAACATACTGCGTTTAAACAAGCTCAATTTAATATTCGGAAAGGCTATTTCAAAGCTTTCTATTTATATGGAGTCCAGACTGTTTATTAGACTGGCCTAATGAAGGACATTTGCATTGCTAATCAAATCAGGCCTTATTTGGGTTCCAGCCGCTCATTTGACGATGCAACAAAGTTATTGCTTCAAACGGCTCGTCTGGTTCGCATGACTGCTGTCAGCGAGAGGGTGGAGAATGGAATGAATGCTCACGCTTGTGTTTGTGCGACTGGATGCGAGTCAGTGTATGTTCACTATCTGAAACATCTGCGCTTGTGAAGCTACAGATGGCATCCAGACATTTGCAATATTCCTCAAGAGCCACATGCCTAAATCTCTCATGGACGGTTGAGACTTTGGTCAAGGCATTTGCAAAATATGCTGATGCAAGATGCTGTCCTTCCAGATAGCAGCTTAATGTAATATAGATTGAATATTCCTTAACCAATAAGAGAGTGCACTTCATTTGACCTTGATTTGTCATCTTATCTTCAGGTCACCAGGGTTTACATGCTGCAGTGGATGGGCGCAGCAAGGCGAGGAGTGTTTAACGCGTAAGTGTCATTTCTTGTATGTTAGATCACTTCCCGAGTGTCACTTGATTTATATCTTGATTATGTCCTTCTCCCCTCAGCTCTCTGCGAAGGTAACTTCACTTGTAATGAGAACGAGGTGTGTGTCCGACCAAACGAATGCCGCTGTCGTCATGGATATTTTGGGGCAAGTTGTGACACAAGTGAGTTCATCAAGCTCATTTTAATTGTTAAAAAATATTTTTTTGCTTTTTACTCGATGTTAGTCAGCTTTGAGGTCATTTATATGCTCATATAGCTACAATTTATAAAGATGTGCATTCAAAATGTACATTGTTTCTTTTCCAAGTAAGTGGACTTAAAATACTTTTTCCAATAAGTTGCTATTGAAAAAATGTCCCAAATCAGCAAATCATAAAGTTGCTAAGCTATGATCAAAACTAAAGGCTATTTCTAAAAATAGTCAAATCTTTCAGTGTTCCAAACCAGATTCTACTTGTGAAGGCTTGTACTTGTTAATTGTAAAGAAATTGTGTGAAAAATTAACAGCACTGTTAACAATTTCAGCAGAATTTAAAGACAACATGACTTCAAAATTGAGCCATTTGACTCTATTTGAATATGTCTCTTATTCTAAAGAAGAAATATCATAATTGTTCATAATTTTCATAAAGTTCCTTCACCTCTGAATTGACTTTTCAATTCTAATGATGAAATCAAGGCCACTTGAATAGGAAAAAGTCATATTGATCAATAATATTTATTTAACTTCACTACTATTCAAAAGTTTGGGGTAAGTAACTTTTTTTTATGAAATTAATAATTTATTTAGCAAGGATGCATCAAACTAATATAAAGTGACAGTAAAGACATTTTTTTCCATTTCAAATCAATGCTGTTCTTTTGAACCTTCTATTCATCAAAGTATCTTTGTAGAAATTAGTTTTTTCAATGTCCACTAAAATATTAAGCAGCAGTTTTTAATGTCAATAATAATAATAATAATAATAATAGAACATGTTTCTTGACTGCCATATCAGCATATTAGAATGATTTCTGAAGGATCATGTGAAGACTGGAGTATTCAGCTTTGCATCATAGGAATAAATTACATTTTAAAAAAATATATCAAGATTGTAATAACAATATTACTGTTTTTACTTGTATTTTGAGCAAATAAATGCACCTTGGTCAGCATAAGAGACTTTTTTTCAACAAAAAAAAAAGAATCCCCAGACTGGTAGTGAATGGTAGTGTAGATACAATATAACTCACATATAATAAGCATACTAGTATGCAATATTACAGTTTTTACTGTATTTTGAGCAAATAAATGCACCTTGGTGAGCATAAGAGACTTAAAAAAAATACAAAATCCCCAGACTGGTAGTGAATGGTAGTGTAGATACAATATAACTCACATATAATAAGCATACTAGTATGCAATATTACAGTTTTTACTGTATTTTGAGCAAATAAATGCACCTTGGTGAGCATAAGAGACTTAAAAAAAACAGACTGGTAGTGAATGGTAGCATATATACAGTAAAGACATTTTTTTCCATTTCAAATCAATGCTGTTCTTTTGAACCTTCTATTCATCAAAGTATCTTTGTAGAAATTAGTTTTTTCAATGTCCACTAAAATATTAAGCAGCAGTTTTTAATGTCAATAATAATAATAATAATAATAATAATAATAGAACATGTTTCTTGACTGCCATATCAGCATATTAGAATGATTTCTGAAGGATCATGTGAAGACTGGAGTATTCAGCTTTGCATCATAGGAATAAATTACATTTTAAAAAAATATATCAAGATTGTAATAACAATATTACTGTTTTTACTTGTATTTTGAGCAAATAAATGCACCTTGGTCAGCATAAGAGACTTTTTTTCAACAAAAAAAAAAGAATCCCCAGACTGGTAGTGAATGGTAGTGTAGATACAATATAACTCACATATAATAAGCATACTAGTATGCAATATTACAGTTTTTACTGTATTTTGAGCAAATAAATGCACCTTGGTGAGCATAAGAGACTTAAAAAAAATACAAAATCCCCAGACTGGTAGTGAATGGTAGTGTAGATACAATATAACACACATATGATAAGCATAATAGTATGCAATGTTACTGTTTTTACTGTATTTTGAGCAAATAAATGCACCTTGGTGAGCATAAGAGACTTAAAAAAACAGACTGGTAGTGAATGGTAGCGTATATACAATATAACACACATATAATAAGCTTTTTGTTAACAAACTAGACATGTTATACAGTGGCGAAAGAACAATTTTCACTGAGCAATCTGAGTTTTATAATCAACATAAAATATTGTCTAAAATACTTTTACAACAAGCTGAAAAAAATTCTTTCACCTTCCCAGTTGCACAGTAAATATGTTTCTTTTCCTTTGACACTGTGGATAAGCATAATAGTATGCAATGTTACTGTTTTTACTGTATTTTGAGCAAATAAATGCACCTTGGTGAGCATAAGAGACTTAAAAAAAACAGACTGGTAGTGAATGGTAGCATATATACAATATAACACACATATAATAAGCTTTTTGTTAACAAACTAGACATGTTATACAGTGGTGAAAGAACAATTTTCACTGAGCAATCTGAGTTTTATAATCAACATAAAATATTGTCTAAAATACTTTTACAACAAGCTGAAAAAAATTCTTTCAGCTTCCCAGTTGCACAGTAAATATGTTTCTTTTCCTTTGACACTGTGCTTTTTCTGACTCCTCTAGAGTGTCCCGCTCAGTTCTGGGGTCCAGACTGCAAGGGCATGTGCACGTGTCACCCTAACGGTAAATGCGACGACGTGACCGGGAAGTGCACGTGCTACCCAAACCGCTGGGGTGAGAACTGCCAGAAGCCCTGCAACTGTCAGAAAGGGAAATGTGGCCAGGAGACGGGCAAATGCACCTGCCATGCCGGGTACTGGGGGCCGCAGTGCAATAACAACTGCTACTGCAGCATCAACTCACTGTGCGACCAGAACACGGGCCGGTGCATCTGCAACCCCGGCTGGTTCGGCCGGAACTGCGGCGCTCAGTGTGTATGTAACAACTCGCCTTGTGAGCAGTTTACGGGCCGATGTCAGTGCAGAGAGAGGCTCTGGGGTCAGCACTGTGAACGGCACTGTCAGTGCGCCAATGGGAAGTGTAACCCTGTGGATGGATCGTGTACCTGTAAACCCGGATACAGAGGAAAACAATGCCGGGAGCCGTGTCCAGCTGGATTCTATGGACAGAACTGCAAAAACAAGTGAGAAAAAAAATTATGTAGAGTACAATAAGTATTTTATGCTTACTGTGGCTGCATTTATTTCACCAAAAATACAGTAAAATAAAAATACAGTAACCAAAAATACTGTTTAAAAAATTACAGTAAATTTTTTTTAAATATTGTGAAATATTATTTCGATTTCAAAGGACTATTTTATATTTTGAAATATTTTAAAAGTAAATGTATTTATTTATGATGCAAAGCTGAATTTTCAGCATCATTACTCCAGTGTCTTAAGTATCACATGATCCTTCAGAAATGATTCTAATATGCTGATTTACTCCTCAATAAACATTCTGTATTATTAAATCTCAATGCTGAAAAAAGTTTTGCTGCTTAATATTTTGTGGAAACGGTGATGTTATATGATATACTACCATACACAAAAGTGGTAAGTAAGATTTTAAAAAATAAAAAAAGGGAAATATTTTTTTTCTAGCAAGGGTGCATTAAATTGATCAAAAGTCACAGTACAGACATTTATAATATTACAAAAGATTTATATTTCAAATAAATGCAGTTGTTTTGAACTTTCTATCATCTATTCATCAAAGAATCCTGAAAAAAATTATATTAGAGTTACCACAAAAATGTTAAGCAGCAAAAACTCAATATTGATAATATTAAGAACCATTATTTACAACTGAGCACCAATAATAAAAGCATAAAATCAGCGTATTTCACAATATTACTTTTCAAAACAGTAAAAAAAAAATGTGTACAGAATATTGGTGTTTATTTTTATGATGCAAAGCTGAGCTTAATATTTTTGTAATTTTATTGCCATAACATCATTGAACAAATATATATATTTGTTAGTTTTGCAATACAAATGTCAAAAAATTCTTAAATCAAATAAAAAAAAAATCTTAAATCAAGATATTACTTGAAAAGCAAAATGACATAAGATATTGTTTTCTGAATAAAATATCAAAATTAAGTGAGTTTAAAAAAAAATTGCAATAATAGAGTAAGAACAATATTCTTGTTTTCCTTTTGAATTAAGTAGATTTTTTTCTGACCTTACTGGCAGATATTTGTCCTTGTTTTAATAATAATTAATAATTTATTTTTGTTTTAAACATAAACTCACATCATTTTGATTTAAAAACAAGACTTAATATCCAAAGTATTTTTGTTTAGATATCTGACAAGACAAAAGTACTGAGTAAGAAATGTTTTTTTGGTATATTGGTTTTGACTGTCTTTTCTTGTTTCTGTTGCTCCAGATGTGGCCACTGTAAAGGCCAGCAGCCCTGTAAGGTGACGGAGGGTCACTGTGAAACGTGTGCGAGCGGCTGGAACGGGACAAAATGTGATCAGATGTGTGCAGAGGGTTACTTCGGAGAGAACTGTAAGGATCAGTGTCCGCCGTGCAAAGACGGTCACTTCTGCAACCGGATCAACGGGAAGTGTTCCCACTGCAATCCCGGCTGGATTGGAGATCGGTACACAATTTTGGCCATTGTAGCCAACTGTTATATAAAAAAAAATAAAGCTGTTAATGAAACAAGAACAAAACAAAAATACAAAGTTGACAAGTGAGGGGGGAATTGACTAAAAATAAGAATTATGTCTATTGACAGCGCTGTTTATTTACATATACTATCTGCATTGTTTTTAGTGAAGCACCCACTTAAGGAATTATGCACATCAAATAATAATAGAAACATAAATTGAAGTACACAAAACCATTTATACATCAATACACTACCAACTAAGACATTTGTGGTTGGTAAGATGTTTTAGTGTTTATGAAAGAAGTCTCTTGTGCTCATCAAGGCTGCATTTATTTAATTAAGAACTGTAAAATTTTAAAATATTATAATAATTTCAAATAATCATGTTCTATTTTAATATATTTTAAAATGTAATTTATTCCCGTGATATAAAGCTGAATTGTCAGCATCATTACTCCAGTCTTCAGTGTCACATAATCCCTCAGAAATCATTCTGATATGATGAGTTGCTGCTTAAGAATCTTTTATTATAATCAATGAAAACAGTTGTGGAAATATCATACCCAATAGTGGAAGTGTACCAAGTGTACCAATTCATCTCTGAAAGTTTTCACATGTTGCTGCTCTTTAACTCTTTCCCCGCCAGCATTTTTTTAAAAAGTTGCCAGCCACCGCCAGCGATTTTGATGATTTTCACTAAAATTTGATGACCTCCAGAATATTTTGCTGTATGAATATTTTAATATGCGATACACCAAAATAAAGATCAGAGCCTCTACTTTTAAACAGTTTTATTCTAACTTAAAGCATTCTTTTTTATCAACACTTGAATATAGGTAGGTTTCATAAAAATTCATAATTTTGAGCAAAATTAAATTTTTATCAAAAACTACATCTGGGGAATATTCAGTACAATTATCAAAGCATAAATCCAGTAAATCGCTTCTATCAACACCTCCATAGCTTGCACAGACATATACCACTTCCTGGATCAACATTTTACTCTGTAACATTATGCAGTTTTCATTTATATACTGCCATTGCCGATGATCGCATTATTTTTCATACGCATCTCTTAACATAAGAGATTGCTCGTTTCTCCGTCCTGTACACATGTGTTTTTGTTCGGGAGGTTTTGTACTCGTTCAGAAGATGTGTAATAGCGCCCCCTAGTGTATAACAGTGAAAACACGAAAAGCCGTAAAAACTCGTCTTTGGCGGGGAAGCTTTGTCTTCTAATAGACGAGATAACTCGTCAATGGCGGGGAAAGAGTTAAAGGGTTAGTTCACCCAAAAATTATGTCATTAATTACTCACCCTCGTGTTGTTCCAAACCTGTAAGACCTTCGTTCATCTTCGGAACACAATTTAAGATATTTTTTATGAAATCTGAGGGCTCTCTGACCCTCCCATAGACAGCAAGGTAACTACCACGTTCAAGGTCCAGAAAAGTACCAAGATGATCGACAAAGTAGTCCGTGTGACATCAGTGGTTCAACTGTAAAGTTACGAAGCTACGAGAATACTGTTTTGTGCAAAGAAAACAAAAATACACACGCTCGCGTCATGATACTGTCATGAACGCACGTCCAAAGTGACACAGTAGAGACGAAAATGTGGAATAAAGTCGTTATTTTTGTTTTCTTTGCGCAAAAAAATATTCTCGTAGCTTCGTAACTTTACAGTTGAACCACTGATGTCACACGGACTACTTTGTCGATCATCTTGGTACTTTTCTGGACCTTGAACGTGGTAGTTACCTTGCTGTCTATGGGAGGGTCAGAGAGCCCTCAGATTTCATCAAAAATATCTAAAATTGTGTTCCGAAGATGAATGAAGGTCTTACGGGTTTGGAACAACACGAGGGTGAGTAATTAATGACAGCATTTTCATTTTTGGGTGAACTAACCCTTTAAGTATTTTCTTGGAGATTGTTTTGATGAAAACTAAAATCAAATTTGAAATTGACCAGCATTTGTATAACCTCTTCCTCTTTCTCTCTCTGTATTCAGCTGTGAGGTGCGCTGTCCTAATGGCACGTATGGAGAAAACTGTGAAAAAGACTGCAGCCATTGTTTTAATGGAGACTGCCATTTTTCCACAGGAGAGTGTCTCTGTGACCCTGGCTTCTATGGGACATAGTAAGTCACATCTGAGTCATGCACAAATTAAGGTCATCTTGATATCTAGGTCTGTTTTCATTAACCAATGAATCATCCTGAGTCATCCTAAACTGTTTAAAGATGAGTAAACATTTAAACAAATTACAGTGTGCAAAACAGGACACCAAAAGTGATTAAATGTGCATCGATGCTTTGTAAAAAGAGGCACTAAACATGTCCATCATAGAAAGAAATGATGATCCTAAGAGGAGCATCACATTAACACATAATTGTATGTTTTGTGAGGAAAAGCATATCTTTGCCCTTATACCAGAAAGAAAGCAGTTTTGATACTCTATCTATAATTACGATTGCAGGACTTATATTTTGAATATTTTGAGTGTGAATCACTTAAATGTTCAGATTTCACTTAAACTTTGTACAGAAGATAATTTCAGTCTTACGGTATCTGTTTTTTTGGTTGATCAACTTTTTATTTAAAAATATTTATGTAATGGCAAATCTGAATTTTCATTCTAATATGCTGATTTGCTGCTTAAGAATCATTTATTACTTATTATAATCAATGTTGTAAATAGTTGAGCTGCTTAACATTTTTGTGGAAACCTTTACAGTTGTTTTTTTTCAGAACTCTGATGAATAGAAAGTAAAAAAAACGCATTTATTTGAAATCGACATCTTTATAGACTTAGATTTCTGTTTATTTCTTAATCCAATAAAAAAAAAAAATGTACTGTCACTTTTTATCTATTTAATGCATCCTTGCTGAATACAAGTATTAAGTGCATTTAAATAACAATCCTACTGACTTCAAACTTTTGAATGATAGTGAAAAATTAAATAAACAAATACGAAGTGTTAGAATATTCAGCTTTCACATCTAAAATGGCCAACAGTGATATCCTTGTAATATCTGCAAATTACTTTATTTCACTTGATCAGATTATTTCAATCTATCTGTTGAGTAAGACCAATCTAAATATTAAACACTATTGAAAATGATTCTAATATTTACCACAAACTACACTTGAATCATATCATACCTTTATTTTCGGTCAGAGAACACATTGAAATAGAATTCATTGTTACTTAAAACTTGTTTTCTCAGAAAGCCACTTTAAAATGTTTTGTCGGTTTCAGTTTAGAGTCTTTAAATGAGAATATCTGTTCTTGTTTCATTCATTGCAAATGCTAAATTCCTCTTCCCTGTTCTTGCATTTCCAATATCAACAGAATTGCCTTTAATTCCCCAAGCAAGCTGCCTTGTTCCATTTTCACTGGAAGCTCCTGTTGCTATGTGCACACAATGCTTGTATTGATTTTTGATTCATCAGTGTTGTTTATGTGCTCTTTGTATTCCTCTTCATTTTAGCTGCAACCTGACCTGTGAGTTGGGTCAGTTTGGAGTGAACTGTGCCCAGGTCTGTCCATGTCACGACAAGAACTGCAACCCAGTGTCAGGAGCCTGCAACCTATGTAAGAAACCCTCCCTGACCCTCTTTAGGAAAAGCAAATGTAATTTCTCGAGCTTTCTGTGATATCATTTGCTATGGAGACACAGAAGAACTCCTAAAGTGTTAAGACATATTTGTGGGGTCCAGCATCAGTCATATTTTCCATTACGTTAAAGGGAGGGAGGGGGGGGGATGGACAGCTGCCCAGTTGACGCCAAGGTCAACTTAAGATTCAACCTTTTGACTCCCAACGGATTTGCGAGCACGTCGGTTACTAAAGGTGGAACATTTTAGATACAGCAAATGCAGCATGACATCACGTCATGATCATTTTACACATTATGCATTGTATAACAGCCACCCTGATTTTTCCAGGCTAAACAGTTTTTGTCATTGGTGTGCAAAATGGGTATTTTTCCCCCAAAAAATATAAAATTCCATACAGGGCAAAAAAAAGTACCATTAAAGTACTTCACAATATCAGCTTCTAAACCATTAATGGTGTGTCGCTTTCCATTAAAATATGTAAATATATCTCTATACAAGAAGACTTATTTTCAGAGTATACATCTTTACCTAAAGCCTTTATATATAATGCATTATAAAGGTATTCATAAAGTACATTCTAATGCATTATATATTTTCATAAATAATTGCAAACAAATATATTATAATATTTGAAGGTTTGTTTGTCAGGTGTTTTAATGCATTATACTTTATAAGAGTATAACAATGAAAAAATAAGTTTTAGAATGTATTGTAACTGTTGAGGTCATACAATGCATTATAAGGCATAACTAATGTATAAAAAACTACTTTTGGAATGATCTTTAAGTAAAGTGTTACCATATTTTTTCCTACCCCATTGACAAGTACTTTTTGTCTTGTTAAGCAAAAGTTTTGTTAGGTTTATGCTTAAAACGATACAAAATATTTGCCTTTGGAGTAAGAAAAATACATTTATTTCCAAGATATATTCTCTGAAAACAAGCCTGATTATCCTATAAATGTATCTTATTTTATCAATGTTAATATATTTTTACAAAAACGTGCTGTTTACCAAAACATCTGAATAATCAAGAAAAGCAACACTTTCATAACCTAATAAAAAACATTTCCCAGAAAATACAATTGTTAGCTAGAATGCTAATGAAAAAGCATATTTGTATTTTTTTTGGCAGTACATAGGGTTTGTGTGCTTTATTCGAAGTTGTCGAAGTCGTTTGATTGCTTTGCGTGAGATACAGACCCAAAATTCAATTCATCACTCACTACTCTTTAGGCTAGTGTATTTATAAGGCTCATTAACTTCAATGCAGCATAATCTTCAATATCACTGGATTAAAGTTATTTCTGGATTAAAGAATGAGGTTAAAATCATTCGTTTTTCTTAAAAAAAATCTATGAGAAGCTTGTTGTGCAGGCAAATGAAAACACAGTTGCTATTGGTAACATGCCTGCGTAGTCCTCACTATGTAGGTCACTGCCGTAGACAGCAGCAGTTTAACATGGCGGCCCTGATGGTGATTCCAGAGTGGTGTCTTATTTTTACGGCTGTGTTTTTTGGCTCTTTTCCTGCCTGCTCATCGAGTTAGTGAGAGCCGAGGTTGTTTCACACAGCTGAGAGAAATACTACAGGAAGAGAGCAAGAGAGAGAGAGACAGTAATGAGGAAAGGTGTGGGTCAGCAGAGGTTTCACAGGGACCTGAGTGAAGGCAGTAATGAAGTCACCGTGGCCGACCTCAATGGGGCCTTCCTCGAACACAGCTGTGCTTTCAGGACATGTGTGGATGTGCCCACACCCGGACTGAGCTCCACACTTCTGTGACAGAATCTACAGCACAAATCAAAGAGTCAAATGGGTTGTCATCAGTTATTATGCTTTAACTGTTTTCAGTTGGTTTTTAGAAGCAAATGTTTGCACAAGGAATATTATGAGAGGAATATTTGGGTTCAGCTGAAAATCATTTCTGTTTAACAAAAAGGAGTAGCTCACTCCAAAATGAACATTTGCTGAAAATGTACTCTCCCTCAGGCCATCCAAAATGTAGATTCGTTTTTTATTTTTCCAGAAAAGACTGAAGAAATTTAGCATTTGATCACGTGCTCACTAATGGATCCTCTTCAGTGAATGGGTGCCGTCAGAATGAGAGTCCAAACAGCTGATAAAAACATCACAGTAACCCACAAGTAATCCACACAACTCCAGTCCATCGATTAATATCTTGTGAATAGAACGACTGTGTCTCTGTAAGAAACTAATTTATCAAGATGTTTTTTAACTTCAAGCGTCTATCCTTAATATTGTTTTCTCTCCAATAAAAAAAGTAGTCTAATCTGAATCAGGAGAGAAATGTGCACAGATCAAGCACCGTTTACAAGTAAAAACCGTTCAAAACCGTTGTTATCAAATACATGGATGAATATTGATGTGAGAGGACAACAGAGGATGGACTTTTTCATTGGGGAAACGATATTATGGATTATGGACTTATATTTTCGCCAGAAGTGATGGTTTAAAGTTAAAACACCTTAATGTTTCTTATAACACTGAGCTTGAGAGACTGGAGTGGTGTGGACTATTATGATGTTTTTATCAGCTGTTTAGACTCTCATTCTGACGGCACCCATTCACTGCAGTGGATCCATTGGTGAGCAAGTGATGTAATGCTAGATTTCCCCAAATCTGTTCTGAAGAACTGATGAAGAAACTCATTCACATCGTGGATGACCTGAGGTTGAGTAAATGTATTGCAAATTTAAATTTTTGGGTGAACTATTCCTTTAAATCTGAAGTACACATTTAATACGGCTTTACCTTTGGACATTTTTGAAGTTGCAAAAATATAAAAAATTACATAACATGTTGGATGCACCATATTTTTCGTCTGGATCATCCAAGGCCAGTAATTATTTCAGTATGTATTATTGAGCTTATAACGATGGACGATCCAGACTACGGTGAATCCAACAGCTGAAATTCTTCATTCTCACCAGTGCCAAATTAAGCATCCCAACATTGTCTATGTTTATGAACGGAAGAGCCAAATAGCTACACTTTATGCTCCAGTGATAATGCCTGTTGGCAACAGATGCAAAGAAGCCACTGGCAGACGTCCCGCGTCTCACAGCACACAACTACTAGCTCTTAAACTCCCGAACTCGTGTAGTAATTGCGAGGACATTTAATTCATTTCTGCAGAGTGTTCTTGAAGTTCAAGGAAATTTAAAACCTGTTTAATCTAACATTTGCAATGATGCAACATGAAATTATTCTGTGTATCAATTTGAAATTACTACACGGCTCTTGATTTTGATTGGTCAATTGCGGCATTCTGCAGGGTACTTATAAGGATCATTAACTTTCATGCTGTGTAAACCTCAGCATTACTGCATTAAAAAGACTAAAAGAGTTTATTTCTCTTTAAAAATCCATAAGATTTGTTCTGTAGTCAAAATAAACAGCTTTTTGCATGAATGGAATTGGTTAACTTCTGTACATTTTTCCTTAGCAGGCAAAATTCAACCTGTTTAATGTGAAACGCCATCTGCAATAATGCAACATGAAATTATTCTTAGTTTGAATTTTAAATTCAGTATGTTCAATTGCTTCTCAGACTTTGAGCATTTAAAAGAAGGTTTCACCTGTTGTTCTGCACAATTCAGTTGCATCTTGGTCTCCTACTACAGCCATGTTTTCATCAGGGAAGTTTTGAGTTAAATTGGAAACTTGACACTCTCTTTCTGTCTGTCTTTCCCTCAGATCCTAATCAGCGGATGGGAGTAATAGCTGCGGGAACGCTGGTGACATTCCTGCTGGTGGTTCTTCTCTCTCTGCTGTGCTGCTACTTCCTCTGTAGCAACAAAGACAACCGCAAGTAAGTACAAATCAACACTAGTTTCACAATCCAGTTCTTAGTAAGTCCCAGCCTTCTGTATTAAAAGGTTAAAATACTTTCTCCAATTACAGTTTAATATGCAAGACAACATTAGAAGTTTATTTACAGATTTTAGTGAGTTTAATCATTAGGCCTCATTCATGAACCTTTCACAAATATGAGTAATTTGCACATAAAATGGACTTTCACAACTCTGCGAAAGAATTTGCAAATGCTGTGTAAACCTCAGATTTGATAGGTAAACGTGTATGTTAATGAATTCCAATCATTTGTAAATAGGACGCCTTCATTATTTGAGTGGTTTGATGTCAAAATTTGGCTTAACCAGTAGTGTAAGTTTGAGGCAGAACTACTTTAGATAGAACTTACATACTTCACCTATAAATACAAAAATGTAAAAAGTATTGAGAGTGTCAGATATTCTCCTTCCCCAGTTATATAATCAGATATACTAGTTTAAACTCAAACACAATACCATTTAAAAGTTTGGGACTTATGCTCACCACGGCTGCATATATTTGATCAAAAATACAGTAAAAAAATGTAAAAATGTTAAATATTATTACAATATAAAATAAGCATTTTCTATTGTAGTATATAACAAAATGTAATTTATTCCTGTGATGCAAAGCAGAAATTTCACTATTATTACTCGTCTTCAGTGTCGCATAATTCTTCAGAAATCAACAATGTGATGATTAGCTCAAAAACATTTCTTGTTATTACGCAAATGCTGTGTAAACCTCAGATTTGATAGGTAAACGTGTATGTTAATGAATTCCAATCATTTGTAAATAGGATGCCTTCATTATTTGAGTGGTTTGACGTCAAAATTTGGCTTAACCAGTAGTGTAAGTTTGAGGCAGAACTACTTTAGATAGAACTTACATACTTCACCTATAAATACAAAAATTTAAAAAGTATTGAGAGTGTCAGATATTCTCCTTCCCCAGTTATATAATCAGATATACTAGTTTAAACTCAAACACAATACCATTTAAAAGTTTGGGACTTATGCTCACCACGGCTGCATATATTTGATCAAAAATACAGCAAAAAATGTAAAAATGTTAAATATTATTACAATATAAAATAAGCATTTTCTATTGTAGTATATAACAAAATGTAATTTATTCCTGTGATGCAAAGCTGAAATTTCACTATTATTACTCATCTTCAGTGTCACATAATTCTTCAGAAATCAACAATGTGATGATTAGCTCAAAAACATTTCTTGTTATTAGCAAAGTTGAAAAGAGTTGTGCTGCTTAATATATTTGTGGAAATGGTGATGCATTTTTTTTCAGGATTCTTTCATTTCTTTATAATATAACCGCTTTAAACAACTAGTCTAGAGTGGTTCTGCTCAAACTGTACAAACTGTTTGTGAACACAGCTGTATTTGGTGCTGTAAAACCAGACTGACAGCCATATTCTGCATCGACAGTGTGAACGTGGCCCTTGTGTCTCCCTCAAATGCACTCTGTTCTTACACCCCTGGCAAAAATCATCTTTTAACAAAGCCTGTCATCAGAATTGTTCACAGTTCGCTGAAGTGAAAGCCTCTTCTGTTCTCCGCAGTCAGTCAGGAAAACTCAAGACTCTCGTGTTCTAGAAATCACAGTCGGCTGTTTTCTTAAACTTTCCACCTTTTCTAAATGGCTGGAAAACTAAAGAACGTAAGACCAACTGAGCCTAGATTTCCTCAGTTTGCCCGTGAGGCAGATTAATCCCTCCATTTCTTCCTTATTTGAACATCATATCTACAATCTCTATGCAGTTTATGCTAGAAGGCAATCGATCTACAATAGCACACATCTACAATATTCAATCCATTTCTAGTCAGTGCAATGTTGGTCTAACGTCACTCTTCCTCATTTAGCCCTGACCAGGAAAACTCCACCAACAGCAAGAAGGCCAAAATAATCCTCTGCGGCGGATTCAGTCGTATCAGCACCAAACTTCCCAGAATCCCTCTGAGGAGACAGAAACTACCCAAAGTTGTTGGTATGTCTTCATTTTCCATCATCTAAAATTACATATGGTTTAGGTCAGTGTGTCATGAGTAAACAGATCCATGCAACAGATGAAAGATGCACTTAATATGATCTGCCTGATGTTTAGTCTTCAATGATTTAACAAAAACAGCATATTTAGCAAGTATGCTTTTTGTGTTAGAGCGTATTTTGATGCACATCTCCCTCAGCCTAAACAGACAGTGTCAGTTTTACATGTTGGCAAAATAAACTTTTAAGTAAACCTTTATTTTTTTAATGTAAAACTTTTCAAATCTAGTTTAATAGCAGAAACAACTGTAAGATACATTCTGGTTCAGCTAAAGGGAGTGTAACTGAAAGATGCAAGCCTCAAGTGACATTTATAACAATTTAACACTTTATTTTAACCCAAAACATCTTAAAAACAATTGGACCACTGATAAAACCATTGAGTTGCCATACAATGTCAGGACATACTGCAAGTCTGTGTCATGTATGAACTCCCTTATAGTTCACCCAAAAGTGAAAATTAAGTCATCATTTATTCACACTGGTGGTGTTATCATACTCTATGCCGTAAGGATAAATTTTAAGAAATGTCCCGTTCATGCTTATTCATTTAATGGCAGTAAATAGCAAACAGCATCAAGCTTTAAAAAAAAAAAAAGATTAATAAAAACACAGCATGAAATAATGCCAAAAAAGTATCTGCATACTTTTTCCACTGTTGAATATCTTTGGTTGTCTGATGACAGAATGATTGTTATGTTGGCACCTTTTTTTTTTTTTGATAATTTTGTTTTTTTGCTTTTACCTTGGCTGGTTTACGCCTGTCATGGATGAATATGACACTAAAACTGCCAGTAGGTGATGGCAATTAAGTCCCTGTCTAAATGAGTGATTCATTGAATCATTCATTCAAACAATTTGTTCAAAATGAAGCATTCTAACTGCATTCCCAAGCCCAAAGTACTGTATACTTCAGTTTTTGTTTACACATAGCGTAATGCTAGCGTATGCATGTAGCCAAATAAGTATACTCCATTTGATAGCATACACGAATGCAGACGTTCGACATGCGCTCAAGAAAGCTTCAGCTTTACAAATGTATATTTGTAAACTGTTGGGATTAGACAGCATTTTTAGCTTCTGATGAACTGTTGTTAAAAGAAACAAAAACATCACAAAGGGGTGTTACATCTGAATATTTTTACACACATGCAGATTTGATTGATTTGATAGCATACACGAATGCAGACGGGCAACATGTGCTTCATTCATCTTAGTCCAATGTCTGCTTTATGCTAGTTATGACTGATAAAAAGTTGCCGCTGTCTCATAACCCTCTCACACAAGTACTTGTCAATGCAGGCATCTGTTGTTGTTCTGTCTCTTTCGTTTCGATTTCTACTGTGAAACAATGGCTAGGGTCAGTGTTGCCACCTTGTGGAACAACTGATTAGTGCAAAACCAAGTCAATGCCCATGTGCGACCTGCACATATGCGTCATCACATAATAAATGCTTTTGGACTCTCAAGATGTGTTTTTGTTTTGTTTTTTTTTTGCCCCCCCCCCCCAAAAAAAGGAACATAACATTTTCCACGGAACACATGTATTTCTATTTCAAGCCTTCTGAAGTCACACATTACATTTGTGGGGAACAAACCATTTATTTCAAGTACTCAAATTTCATTTACACTTGTGCATATACGAAGTTGACACATTGCAATCAGATAAACTTATATAAAGACTTATATAAACTTATATAAACTTATACTAGATATAAAAATGAATGATATCAAATTGGTGCCATATTTGATAAAGAAAAGACACATGAGAATGAGATTTGAAAACTACAGTTGAGATTTAAAGCCCCTGGTCACTTTGTGCTTTTGATTTATGGGGAAAAAAGCAGTCTGAATATAAAGATAAAATATAATTTGGCTGCGGAGTGGGTAAATGGACTACTTACATTTAGCTTGCACTTGAATATGTCTGAAATATCATTGCATATAACATTGTATATTTATATAAACATTACAATAAAAAAAATACAGAAAACTCAAAAGATTTAAGTTAACATATTTGTCAATGTAAGACGTGAAAGACAAAGAAAGACAGCACAAGCACAGTTTTAAAGCAAAACATTTGACAACAATAATCTTGTTAGGTTTTAAATGATAAAAGAATAGACAATCAGTTGAAAATGGAAGATATTTTGACAATAACATGTCTAAATGTGTAAAATGTTTGTACTTAATGTGATTCTCTACACCTGTGGTTAGTCTGCTAAGAACTTGAGGAGAACTGACTTTATAGATCCACTATAAAACACCAAAACACCAGCTGACTAAAAGGCTTTGAGCAAAAATGAAGAAAAAAAGTTCTGAGAAAAGCCCGTCACAATGTGACCTAAGTCTCCAAAAGAGCCACTTGGATAATCTCCAAACAAAAATCAAAGATCAATTGAATTCTGATTTTACGAAGAACATGGATGGCACAGTTTTATTTAAAACACACAATACCCCAGTGTATGGGTAACAGGCGGTCACGGGTGAGCACTATTTAGTTATTTAATGACCGAGAGAAAGCCCAGAGCCATGCTGTCCTCCAAGAGACACGTGCTTCCACGCTAATTTACCACATTACCACAAGTTAAGAGTCACTGCCATCAGAACAGAGTAATGAAAAATCCTCTGTAAAACAATAATGTCACTGTTGGTTAGGGTCGAGTATGGCCTGCAGATTGTTTCAATAAAACCCCTCAAGCTGTAAAACCCTGGACAGACAACAAAGAATAAGCAAGTAGTAAAATGCAATAAGAAGATGGCACTTTAGCTGAAGAGATATGCTCTCGAACATAAACCGGCCCTTTCATCCTCAGACTTTATGAGAAAATTGAGTGAGAATGCATGTAAAACGTCTCTTTCATCTGACAAATCAAAAAGTGTTAAATGACTTCAGGAACTGCCAAAATCAATGCAAAACGTTTCTTTTCACGCTCACTCTAATTTGGTAAACAATTGGGGTTTGCGATAACATATGAGAGGAAGAACTGCAAGCAAACGCAGATGTAACGTTAACCGCGTTCTCTTCCCAACCCCCTCCAACTCTTTACTTAATGGGAGGAGCTGGATGAAAATATCGCTCTCTGGTTCCCTCTTTTTCCTCTTCTTCCTTTTCCTGTTGCAAGCCAGAGGTTCTGCTATCCTCATTGGCCGACTGCAGCAGTGAGGTCTGCTATTTTTCCCTTTCTTTTCTTCCCCCACTTTTTTTTTGTAACTCTACCCTCATGGGAGAGCGAGTGGGTTTTTTACGACCCTGGGCTGGACTCCATTTCGTCCACGGTGAAAACCGATCCGGCGATCCACAGCGCGAAGTTGTTGTATTTCCTCAGCAACCAGCACGGATCAGCTCCAGGCATGACGAAGCAGATATCGTCCTCTTTTGGAAGGCCAAACAAAGTAGTTTCGCTTTCTTAACGAATCACACAGTGCCTTCACGACATGGCGGCGGCGGCAGCAACAATACTACAGCGAGAATAAAAGTTACGCCTTCTTTCTTTGCGTGAACTTTTGGGTGGCGTTATGCAAATCTTCCCACATCGTGACATAGATATGTGGGGGCGTGTTAGAACGAGCTGTTTTAGGTAGGCGTGGTTGACTCTTAACTTTTATAAAGAATATCTCTTTGGATTTGAGACTTCAGTCTTTGCAACTTTACAGATCTTCTTTATGCACCAAGAGCTTGTAACACTCCAAAGAGAAAGGAAAAATTTAAATCGCATCATATGACCCCTTTAATTTGAGGTGACATGCAACATGCAACTGCATATTTTTGTGAGATTCATCCATTTACGTTTTACTTCTATATCATACTAGCCTAATTTATGTTCTCACATATTTAACCAAGACAAATGAAACCCTGAAAAGAATGAGCCATGGACAATGTTCCTGTGCACAGCTTTTTAGTTCTTAATGTACATTTCTCCAAGTCTATAAACATGTTTCTGGAGAGGCGTCAGAGAGACAGGCCACCTGCTGCCCTACACCAGAGTAGTTTCTGCAGCTGTGGGGACTTGTGCAGCTGGGACGTCCCAGTAATGCACTTTTGTTCAAGGCCTGTAGAGCACAGGGTGGGCAGCCAGACCAGCTAAGTCTCCGATGTCAGTAAATCGCTCAGTAACAGCACTGAGTCTGTTTGCATGTATTCCTAACATGTATATCATGCCATTTCACAGTCCCACAGGGGCATCATGAAGCTGCATGATCAGAATGCTGCTGACATGAACAGCGGTACACAGAGAGGAGATATTCCTTTGACATTTCAGGAAGGTTCTTCCAGCATTTACAGCTGTTTGGAAAAAGTATAAAGTATGGAATGTAAATTGTTTCATTGAAGGCAAAACTCCAAAAATGCAGTTTTATTTCTCTGTGGTTTTCACTGCTATGTACTGTTGAAATGTTTATTTTTGCAAATGTACTTTTAAAGCTTTTTTCCACCCTGGGAGAACGTTGGAAGAAGCCCTTTGCGAGCCGATTGAGTCTTTCTAGATCTAAAACACATATGCAAAAACTCAACATGAAAGTTCACTTTGTTTCAGTCTTTTGAGTTATTGTGTTATTCACTTTATGAGTAAACTAAACTAAACAGCCCATATTTTGTCAAGTGCTGAAAATGAATCTTTCATTGTGTACAGTAAATCGTGTTGCTGGTAGTTTTAAATGTAAAAGCTACTAGTAATTGAAACCATATGATGAAACATTTAAAAATCGTTTTAATTTTACTACTTACGCAACTGATGTATTTCAGAATTAAACTAGACATAAGCGAGAATATGGACTAGCATGTCTGGTCCATCAGGATTTAATTGGATTGTGGAAAATGGGTGTTATGAACCATAATGGAGACAGATGGATGGAGGGGGAGGGGCTGAACAACAAGGGCTTAATGATGTCACCTGAAAAAGAGAGTTGTTTCAGAGACCGATTCAGTTTAAAAATCATGCATAATTAGACCAAGAACATGTCGAAAATGCAAAAGAAGTCCATTTTAAATGCATGCTGACTTGAAAGAGATCTTCTGATCTTGCCTGGAAGGCTTCGCATGGCCAAATAGCCAAAAGAGCAGTGTGAGAAAGGCGTAACCAGGCCAAGAAAGTGTGGTTAGCATCTACTCTAGTTCATCCTGAAAGGAGATGTGAGCAGCAGACCACAGGAATCCTGAGTTGACCATCTTTTCTAAGTCAGCATGAATGCATCATCACATATAAGTGGGCGGAAGGAAGCGGCCTCTTGAAAACCACGGTGGCCTTCATTAGGACCAAAGTCACATGCAGGAGAACCGGGCAAAAAGTTACTACTGTATATTTGTAAACTTTTGTGATTAGACAGCATTTTTAGTTCCTGATGAGCCGCTGTTAAAAGAAACAGAAAGATTACAAAGGGGTGACATCTGAATATTTTACACACATACAGATTTGATTGATTTCTTTCCAAAATTGCATTGACTGTTTCAGCAGTTTAGGACACAGAATAAGACACATGGCAATTTGATAACCGTTTTATTTCCTATTTTGGTTTCTGTATATGCTTTATTTTTTAAATTAACCTTTTTTTTTTTCCAAGGCATTGTTAGATGCGAGTGCTTCCTGTTATAACTACGCAAAGATTTGATTTAAAAAAAAAAAAAGGTATCATAGCTATTAAACTATATCTTGTTATGATTTTAAATCTGTATTTCACCAGAATGATGTCAGAGTAAAAAGAGGTGTTAAAGGAAAATGAAATAGTTACACTACTTATTACATTTTAAATGGGTTAACTTGTCATCTGTAACCAATTACATTTCCAAAGTGACCTTCCCAACACTGTATATAATGTAATATATATATATATTTATTTTTATTTTTTTTGTAATGATAAAAATAAAACTGAAATTAAAAAGTAAAGGTAATTTATTACTATTTACAATAAATACTTGTGTTAATCTGCATTTAAGTTGTCCTGAATTTGATAAAATATTAATTTACCTAATGTATTACACTGTAAATAATGTACAGTTTTGTTCTTTGGAAATGGAAGAATTTGGAAATTATTGCAAAAAATTAAAGTACAACATCTGGAGGCATTACATATAAAAAAAAATATATTTCACAAAAAAGGAAAATGTTACACTCAGTTTAATCCACACAAAACCAGTGTGTGCTTGATTTTTTTGCTTCTAAACAACATGGTTATGTTGGTCCATCAATACCAAACCAGCTCTAATTAGCGGTACTAACCCTAACCGTAATCTAATTTACCCCCGTAAATTCCTAGCTCTTCAGATGATCTCCGATCATTCCGCTAGCGTGCTTTGAAGTCTGGCGTTTCACTCATGTGCTGTCAATGCCAGCTTTCATACAGATTATCCACGCTCCACTATTTGCCCTTGTCGGTCACTAATGCAGACTGTAGATCCTAACATCATCACATATGTTGTCAAAGAGCCTTTGTGTGTTGTGGAACCCAGGGAGCCTTCTTCAACTGATCTGACCTGACCTCTCTGTTTGTTTTCCCCTTGTCCAAACCCTTAGTCACCCACCACGATCCTGAGAACACCTTCAACAGTATTATCGAGCCGCCCTCCGTGGTGGACCAGCCTTCTCCATCATGGTCATCCCAAGAGTCCTTCTCTTCCTTCGAGACGAGCGAAGACGGGCCCGTCTACTGCGTACCCCACGAAGGTGAGCGGGAACTAGTGCAGATAAGCCATCTGTTTGTGCAACATGGAAAACAGATGAGGGAGTTAAGAAATCTCCAGACAATTTTATTAAATGACCCCATTCTGTGGTAAACGGTTGCCCTCTGGGTGCGTATATCACGTGCATTGAGATAACACAAACAGTAAATGCTATAAATGGCCAAGTCAGCAGATGCAGCACTTTCAGGATGTGACTCAGAACTTTCTGCATAAACTGTTGTGTGGGAGATTGCTGGAGAACTGATATAAAAGCATTTTAAGGAAAACTGTTTAATCTTAATGTGTAGTTTTGGTGTTTCATAAAGCATACAATATTCTTTAGGGGTCCTTATTTTGTTCTGTTTCTATAATAATCTAGAATTCTTGCTTGGTTAGTTGTTTTTAAAAACTTTTCATTACAGTAAAATTCCCACCTCCAGCAACCTCCAAAAGATGGTGGCTCCAATTTCAGACTCTACACCTGAACCTAAAAGCCCAGAAAAGCTAGGGGTTAATGGGACCAGAGTTGAAGGAGACGCCACCCCAAAGAAAACGCCCATCAAAAAACCACCGAGGAAGAAAGGAAAGGAGGGAATACTGGAGACGGAAGGCAAAACCGCTCCAAAGACGGCCATTATGCCACCTCAGACTGTCAAGTAGATCTTTGATCACATTGGTGCGTCCATTTTTGAGAATATAAACGTACAGTTTTTCTTTCGTTAAACATTATATAGGAATTGGATGGCTTTTTTTTTTAAATGGACGAGCTGCTTATAGGATTTAATATTTTGTTGGATTGTGGTTCTCGTTAACTCTTTGAAAACCAGGAATCGGAAACGACGCTGTGGCTTGTGTACAGTATTAAAAAGGAAGAGTAAATGAATTTAATGCAATAAGCTCATCTTGTATGCTCTTGGATTTACATATGCATCACTCCACGTCCAAAGAGAGATTTTCCAATACTATCGTAATTGTGTGATAAGCAGGTTTTTGTGTCTGAAAGGTTGTATTTAGCACTGTTTTCATAGGTGTAAAGAATGAACCAAAGGTACTTTAAAGGTACAGAATGAATGATTCCAATATTAATTTTCTCTCAGGCTGTATCAGTATATTCAATACCTTGTAAACGATGTCATGAAGGAAATTCTCTGTCTGGGTTCTAAGACATGTCATTTGATTCACTTTCAGCAGTACTTCACCTTGCATCATGCTTTTTAAGCTTTAAATGATATTTCTTGCAAATCCACAGTGATGTTGAAGCTTAGCACTAGTTTTTGCTTTTCTCATAAAGTACCCACAATCGGTAATGCATTTTTTTTTTCAGGCCAGATAAAGACCCCATATTATGTGTTTTTTTTTTTTTTTGGCTTTTAGTCTGTGCATGTTGGCGTTCATGCTCTTTATATGATATTATAGTTCTGAAAGTTCATAAAATAAGTACAGTTATACAACCTTTCTCCTCTGGGATAGATCTTGTACACTGGGGAGTATTCAAACTCTCATCCAATAAAATTCAGTCCTTGCTGAACTTCCTGATGAAATAGGAAATACACAGGGGAAAAAATGACAATGTTTCAATCAGTTTTGAACTTGTTGTTGAAATTTGCATTAAAAATCAGCACTTAAATGATTCTTTTTATGCCTTGAAAATCTCACATGCTTTTCTGTACATGACTGAAAGTTTCAATAGCATAACTACGCCTTTACTATAGTGCTCCCTGGCATTTCATGAAAAAGAATTGCCATACATTATTTATATATACAGTATACACATACATACAGCAGTTGCAACCTACAAACTTTTATCATCAAATATTATTTGTCCTGCCATAGAAACAATGTAATGCTTTAAAGATGCCAGTTTAAAGCAACCTACGAGTCCGATTAAAGGTTACCTTAATTATTCATTCCTCAGAGTTTGGCTTGACTATACAGTTGCAGGAAGTTTAATGCAACCAACAAAAATATGTTTTCTGTGGCTAAAATGAACACAAGAATGGCTCATGACTGCAGTGTGTTTATATTTTTTAAGCTTACTATCTAAAACACACTTGCAAATAGGATGACACCAACAGAAAGAATTCATGAAAAACTGGATGGTTATTTTTTAACAAAGAACATAGGGTTAAATGTTCAATCTGGGTCTGCGGTATTTTTAAGAAAGCTTTTCGATTGTGGTGTACAGTAACTGCTATTCCCTCATATGGTACCTTATATTTTTCTACATGCTAAGATATTTTGTAATAATATTTTTACTCTCATTTGTAAGCTGTGCTTATACAACTTATATCTTGCTTTTTTAATTTTATGTGTGTGTCAAATGAACTGGTTTTCAATTTTGATAACATTTTTTTTTATGTACAAGCATCAGGTACATTTGGATTTAATGTTTAAATATCTTTCTGTTTGCGTTCAAAATATCTTTTTCACATTTCTCTGTGGATGTTATTGTTTTTTTTATGAACGATAAACTGCATGATGCAGAGTTCAGTGAGAGATCGCTGAGAGATATCTATGCATGTTAGGTCATGTTCTGTTTTTGCTGTTCTGTTACTTGGGACCTATGACAAAAAACGACTTTTCATGTTTTTGCACAAATCCAGAACCTTAAATCCAGAACCTTACCATCTGACTTATATGACTTTATGGGAGTATGAATAACAGATTTTTCTACTCTGACTTTGGCATGAGCTTTGACTAAAGTTCAGCCTTAAAATATGGAGCATTATCAGTAACACGCATTATCTTCATTAATTTTGTCCTGATTTTTGCCTTTCTATGTTGTTGATGTGTGGTTGTTCAGTTACCGTATTTGAAATAAAATCAAACCTGTAGCTCATGAATCTAAAGGGTACAGATATCAAATGGCTCTCCCTTCAACATTCAGTATATAATATAATATCATATCATATAATATAATATAATATAAAACATTTTATAAAATGTAATTAAGATACAAAAGACAATATTTTACATTGAACCTATAAAAGATTATTTAATTGTACTTGTGCTTAAAATTGTAAGAGTCCATCTTACAAAATAAGTAATTAAAAGTATATATATATATATGTGTGTGTGTGTGTGTGTGTGTGTGTGAATATATATATACATATACATAGTATATGGTCTAAAAAAGGCAGATAACAAAAAAATAAGTAAATCTTACACAACCTTATTTAAATGAAAGTTATTTAAATAAAAATTTGAAAGTAGCCATTGTTGCTAACTGGATTCAGAATATATGTAAATAAAATAAATAAATAAAGCCTGCTTTTTTTCCACTAAATGAGAACAATATATTGGGACCTATGACAAAAAACGACTTTTCATGTTTTTGCACAAATCCAGAACCTTACCATCTGAATTATATGACTTTATGGGAGTATGAATAACAGATTTTTCTACTCTGACTTTGGCATGAGCTTTGACTAAAGTTCAGCCTTAAAATATGGAGCATTATCAGTAACACGCATTATCTCCATTAATTTTGTCCTGATTTTTGCCTTTCTATGTTGTTGATGTGTGGTTGTTCAGTTACCGTATTTGAAATAAAATCAAACCTGTAGCTCATGAATCTAAAGGGTACAGATATCAAATGGCTCTCCCTTCAACATTCAGTATATAATATAATATCATATCATATAATATAATATAATATAAAACATTTTATAAAATGTAATTAAGATACAAAAGACAATATTTTACATTGAACCTATAAAAGATTATTTAATTGTACTTGTGCTTAAAATTGTAAGAGTCCATCTTACAAAATAAGTAATTAAAAGTATATATATATATATGTGTGTGTGTGTGTGTGTGTGTGTGTGAATATATATATACATATACATAGTATATGGTCTAAAAAAGGCAGATAACAAAAAAATAAGTAAATCTTACACAACCTTATTTAAATGAAAGTTATTTAAATAAAAATTTGAAAGTAGCCATTGTTGCTAACTGGATTCAGAATATATGTAAATAAAATAAATAAATAAAGCCTGCTTTTTTTCCACTAAATGAGAACAATATACTATAATATATATTAAAAAGAATGCATTCAAAAGTACATTTAATTTACTGTATATGCACTAATATATTGATGCCTAATAATAATAATAACAATAATAAACTGCAATATTTACCTACAGATATATTTACAAAATATTTTGAATTTGAAGGACTTCTGGAATTTTAAAATTAGTGGAAATGGGAATGGGCATGCTAATAAGCAACTACTTAATAGTGAGAATTGGTCCCTAAACTAAAGTGTTACCAAAAAAAAAAATTATTATTATTGTTTAGACAAAGCAGCTCTCATTCATTACAAGACGATCCAGGATGCCTCTAAATGACGCTCTGCTCTCTCAGTTTTTTTTGTCTCTCCCATCCATTTTCTCGTTTATACAGTAAAAGATATGTTACAGTTTCCGCTGACTCCTGGCTGCCTCTGTGCTCTGAGCAGGGGATCATGGGGAGGTTTTTTCGTCGCGGTAGCTGTTGCAACGGTGGCCATATGCTCATCAAACTCTAAAGAGCCCAGAGGACTCAACTGGCGAGCTCCTCTACTGGCACAACAGCTTCTTTCATACAGGAACAGTTGGAAGTCTGTGCGATGGGGCCCTGGAGTTAAAGCATCATGCGCTGCGTATTTGTCTTTTTTAAGAGAGAGAGAGAGGAGGGCTTGAAGAAAGCAGCCAAGGTTTCATGGGCAAAAGGCAACACAGGCAAGGAAGATCATGTGATCTGTAATTGAAACCAGAGATGTTTAAAGCATCCAGACACACACACACGCACATGTGCACATTTCCCAAGTCATGCCACTGCTGACATCAAGCTTCTTTTAAACACGGAATTACATTCGCTTTCATTTCAGTATGTATGTGGCCTGTTGTTGGTGTATTTACATTTATTTCCATAACAGCTTCATTGGCTGTTACGCGGCAGATACAGATTAAACTTGCAAACATATAAAATAATAAATACAAGAAAATTCAACAAAGAAAAACAAAAGACAAGATTTACATACAATTCTACAAAAGATAATTTTTCTCAATGTATTTGTAATTAAAATTAGAAAAGATTTCTGGGTCCATCTTACAATATAACTGCCTTAAAGGGGTCATATGATGCGATTTAAATTTTTCCTTTCTCTTTGGAGTGTTACAAGCTCTTGGTGCATAAAGAAGATCTGTAAAGTTGCAAAGACTAAAGTCTCAAATCCAAAGAGATATTCTTTATAAAAGTTCAGAGTCAGCCACACCTACCTAAAACGGCTCGTTCTAAAACGTCCCCACATAACTACCTCACTATGTGGGAAGATTTGCATAACGCCGCCCAAATGTTCAAGCAAAGAAAGAAGGCGTAACTTTTAGTCTGACTGTAGTATTGTTGACGCTGCAGCCATGTCGTGAAGACGCTGTGTGCTTCGTTGCGAAAGCGAAACTACTTTGTTTGGTCTTCCAAAAGAGGACGATATCCGCTTCGTCATGCCTAGAGCTGAGCTGTGCTGGTCGCTGAGGGAATACATCAACTTCACGCTGTGGACGAAGCGGAGTCACATGTGGTTGCCGCTCATTCAGCTCACTCTATCCCGGCCTCAGCGCACGCTAAGCCGGGGCTTCCCCTCACGCTAGGCCGCTGTGTTTTTCGTTGGCAGTGTTTCCCTTGTGAATCAAACTAAATCCTGCTTCACCTCAGAAAAATTAAGAAAAGTACATTTGAAATGTGAATTTATAACATCTCTCTCTCTCTCTCTCTCTCTCTCTCTCTCTCTCTATATATATATATATATATATATATACTGCATATATATGTATAAACAAATTATATTTCTAAAATCATATTAAAATAAATAAATATTAAGAGTATTTTTGCTTAAAATAAACTGAAGACCAATCACATTTAAAAAAAAAGAAAAAAATTAAATTTTTGAAAATAAAAAATTTCAAAAGTAAATTATTATTTTTAAAATGTCTAAAGTAATAATTACTAAATTACATTCCTGAAATTATATTTAAATTGTATAATTATAAATGATAATAAAAAACAATAAATTAAATAATTAAATACAAATTAAATACAACGAGATCAAATCAAATAATCAAAAGTAATAAATTATATTTTGCTTAAAAGGAATTTTATTTTTCCCCAACAATTGTCATTAACGCATCCAGATGTTTTACTTCAGAGCAGGTTTTCACATAATTTTTTATTATTGGAATACAAAAAAAAAACTGGAATACAATCATATTTCTTTTAAAAAATCAACATGAATTCTAAGGAAGTATAAAAATACTGCCATTAATTATAAAAATATAATCATTTAAGTAATATACCATTATTTTGTCTACATTACAGTAATGCAAATACACACATCCTAGGGCTGCACGATTATGACAAAAATCATAATTGTCGATTATTCCCTTGAAATTGTAATTGTGATTATTAATTACGATTATCACAATTTACATTGAATGATGTTTATACAATTGTTTTATGCAACTGCATGCCGTATTTTTATATGAAAATAAACAAGCTGAAAACCTTTAGTGCTTTCCTATAGTATTAAGCCTCAAATGTCAACTAAACATCGGATTGGTTTCTTCTTTAAATCATAAAAAAGTACAAATATGAATGGCATTATAATGTTATACTAAAACTAAAACTAAAATAATGGGAAAAACCCTTAAGATAACATGTAGAAAGAAAAAAACCCATCTTAAGCACACAGAATAACATAAGTGGACTTTGAACGATTAATTGACGCTTTGAACGATTACATAATTGTGGCATCCATAATTGTAATCGCGATTAGATATTCGATTAATAAATCGATTAACTCCAAAATAATTTTCCCAGTAAAATTAGGGACAGTAGAGGTACGAGACAACTGAAGCAGCACTCCAGCGCTGGAAAAGTCATTTAGGCTGTGAATCTTCCAGGAAAACAAGTGTATTCCAGAAAGTATTCACAAAACAAGGCTTATGGCTTTCAAAAAAGATATGGTTTATGACTGTCATCTGCGACCGGACAGACAAACTGATATTTCAGAAGAGGCGATCATGACAAATGGAGTGCCAGCCTAAACATACCTCTCCAAAACCTGGAGCACAATCAAACCGACCCGCGGCTACACGCCTGTTCACAACCCAGCCGTCGCCATGGCAACAGGGACAGATTGCATCCACATCTGGTAGCGATTTCAGCTCTTGTGAAAGAAAAAAAAAGCGGGGGGAGAAAGAAATGTATGTGTTAAGGCGAAAAAGACTCATATTTTCTGCAATGCAAAGCATAAAAAAACTTTGTTTGTTTGCTTGCTTGCTT